GATTTTTTACTGAAGGAACTCGTCCAAGATAACTGAATCCTTTCCCAAAGGATTTAAATCATTTAAACGAAGATGGCAGCCGTGACTGATAATGTAAACCACCTGTTGAAAAGACCAAAATTTAGAAATTTTAGACGTGAAGAATGCCCCTGGATTTTGCGGGAAGGTTCATGTCTTCGGCTTTTAACGTTTTACCGCTCCAAATCTTCGGTGGAGGCTGCGTAAAGAGCAGGAAAAATTCTATGATGTCTGTAAGCTAACACGACTTTTGGAGACTCGGATATGACTCTCCAAACTTTACTGCAGTCAGCGCATTAATTTCTTGACATATTTATTTCTCGAAGACGTGATCAGAATTTCAAATCTCATAACGTTCGGGTTTTCCCGTTCTACATTCGGTGAGTGACGTAGCGCGGTAAGATTTGAATTTAAACATACAACGGTCAACAGACATTAAAACTTGCAGAGGCTTTTGTTTTGCTACGTACGTATACTAAACGCTGGATTCTTTATTTAAACTCATTGTAGAAAGTGAGATTACTTCAAGGAGGAAATCAAGGTTTGATTATAGGAGTTTTTAAATAGAAATAGTAAATTAAACGAGGTGATCTCAGTGTATTTTACACACAGACATCATCAAACACGAGAATGAAGACAACTTTGTAAGATTGTTGATATTATTCTGTATATCAAACGTTTCAAACAATCTTGAATATTTACCTAAGTACACTGCGTTGTACTTTTTGAATTCTGAATTTTATTTAAATAATAAATATTGACTACCCGACGTTTCATTCTCACAGATACTTGTGTGTGAAAGGTTTTCTACAAGTGTAGCTTTTTATCAACCGAAATAAAGCGTGGTTTCTAAAAATTATCTCGATCTAAAACTTTGCTTCATGTATCAGACTATCAGACGGACTCTTCTTGCATTTAGTTTTACAGACGATGTAAAAGCTTCATACATCGTTACTTTAGTGATTGTTGGTAAGATATGTTTACTACCTAAAAGAAGCATCAATATAATTCCAGTATACTTTGATGCAAATTAGCAAAATTGTGAAATCAATATTCAATAAGGAAGAAGCTAGCACTCTCTGTTTATGTATTAAACATTATGTACCATGTGTATTTGGTTTGATATATGTTCACAGGTGAATTGTTGTTGAGTTTTCTGGTTGATTTCAGTCTTCTTAAACTGGTCTTTTTTTAATTCAAAGTACCTTCAGAACAACACTATATTTGTTATAATTTCCCATAGGATGTGTTTGAATGCATTTGAATTTTACACATGATCAAAGGTGTTTGGAAATTTAAATGGACACAAAAATGATGTGCATTAATTTATTTTGAGAGACCCTACATAACAATATTGCTTGTAATTTAAGATAGGGGGGTAGAATTGACAAAATGTTTGTTGATAACAATGTTTGGCAACATGACATTAATTAAATTCTTAATAAGTACAACACATTGTTCGTTATTGAATCAATAAATCAAGTGAATTTTTATATTTCTTTAGTTTGACAAGATGAGTAACAGTACGAACGTAAGTTTTATCATTTCCAGCTTTATATATAAATAAGTTTTCAAAGGATTTTGGAGGGATTGTATTGTGAGGTATATTCTCAAAATTGTCATCACAGAATCAAACATTAAGTTAAAAATAATGTTGCTATAAAGTATAAACATTTACAAATTGATGAATTTTTTTATAATTTTAGATCAACAGTAAATTGAAACCACCGTCATTGCTTGTGGTTCGTCGAGCTACACTTGCTGCATGTCGTGAAAAAAGCAACAACTTGGTTTGTGAATTGTATACTTTTATACAACGTTCACTTCAACAATATATGAAGTATTTTATATTTTGAACTTTTAAAAACACAGAATAATATATGGATTCAGTTACATGCTGTCTGTGTACTTCTGGAGATGCCATACTACTTTGTTGTGTGTAAATTTGTTTAACATGTGTACTTCTGGAGATGCCATACTACTTTGTTGTGTGTAAATTTGTTTAACATGTGTACTTCTGGAGATGCCATACTACTTTGTTGTGTGTAAATTTGTTTAACATGTGTACTTCTGGAGACGCCATACTACTTTTTGTGTGTAAATTTGTTTAACATGTGTACTTCTGGAGATGCCATACTACTTTGTTGTGTGTAAATTTGTTTAACAGATGATCAATGCAAATTATAGGTTTATGAATTAGAATTTGGACTACAAGTGTTTAAGTATTTCAATGAAACAAAAAATTGTGTTGTCAACTGTAGGTTTAGTATTTACTTAATGAATGTTTTTTTCATCAATATTATAGACAAGGGTTTTGATGATTTTGTTTTAATAAGTTGGTTTGAAAATGTTGTTTGTCAAGTCGTTGCTTTTAATATTACAATAGAAAGGTGAATAAACAATGATATACAGAAAGACAAATGCACTTTCACTGTATAACTATGATTCTAAACTTGACAAATGATTACTTTTTAAAATATATATGTATATTTTTGTATGATGTAATTTAGCAGTACTTTTACATCTGATAGAATTATCATTTTCTATTGAAGTAACTTTGATTTTTTAATAGAAAACTATTTGAAAATGATTGATCGGTTTAGTAATAATATTAAACATAGTCTTTCGCAGTTCATCTGTGAGGTTGACCAGGAAAACTTATATGTCTTTATTTATATTGCTTTAAGTTTAGTATATAGGTGGAAGTAAAAATTACAAACAAATAGCTACGTATATTTTTCACTTCAGGGAAAGGTTGGAGGTGAAAAAGCTTCAACGGTAAATGACAAGCAAGAGAGAGTGTTAAAAAGACAGAATTCTAACCTTGAAAATCAAGAAGTAAGACTTGTGAACATTTAACGTACCTTATACATTATTTTTGTTCATTAAATTCGTTTTCCCAAAGTTTGCTGTATCTTAATGTTTTAAGCCTTTGACGAAAAAAGTGAAACGAAAAGGAAATGCACAAGAAGGAAAAAATAAAGGTATATCACACATTACGTGACGTATATCTTAATGGTTTACACTGGTTTTGGTACATTTTATTTCATTTACATCTAACCATGTTGACCCTGGTCTTTATAAGTTTCATTCCCACAGTCCATACGTAGCTGGGATGACCCTGGTCTTTATAAGTTCCATCCCCACAGTCCATACGTAGCTGGGATGACCCTGGTCTTTATAAGTTTCATCCCCACAGTCCATACGTAGCTGGGATGACCTTGGTCTTTATAAGTTTCATCCCCACAGTCCATACGTAGCTGGGTTGACCCTGGTCTTTATAAGTTTCATCCCCAGTCCATACGTAGCTGGGATGACCCTTGTCTTTATAAGTTTCATCCCCACAGTCCATACGTAGCTGGGTTTACCCTGGTCTTTATAAGTTTCATCCCCACAGTCCATACGTAGCTGGGTTTACCCTGGTCTTTATAAGTTTCATCCCGACAGTCCATACGTAGCTGGGTTGACCCTGGTCTTTATAAGTTTCATTCCCACAGTCCATACGTAGCTGGGTTGACCCTGGTCTTTATAAGTTTCATCCCCACAGTCCATACGTAGCTGGGATGACCCTGGTTTTTATAAGTTTCATTCCCACTGTCCATACGTAGCTGGGTTGACCCCTGTCTTTATAAGTTTCATCCCCACAGTCCATACGTAGCTGGGATGACCCTGGTCTTATAAGTTTCATCCCCACAGTCCATACGTAGCTGGGTTGACCCCTGTCTTTATAAGTTTCATCCCCACAGTCCATACGTAGCTGGGATGACCCTGGTTTTTATAAGTTTCATTCCCACAGTCCATACGTAGCTGGGTTGACCCCTGTCTTTATAAGTTTCATCCCCACAGTCCATACGTAGCTGGGTTGACCCCTGTCTTTATAAGTTTCATCCCCACAGTCCATACGTAGCTGGGATGACCCTGGTTTTATAAGTTTCATCCCCACAGTCCATACGTAGCTGGGTTGACCCTGTCTTTATAAGTTTCATCCCCACAGTCCATACGTAGCTGGGTTGACCCTGGTCTTTATAAGTTTCATCCCCACAGTCCATACGTAGCTGGGTTGACCCTGTCTTTATAAGTTTCATCCCCACAGTCCATACGTAGCTGGGATGACCCTGGTCTTTATAAGTTTCATTCCACAGTCCATACGTAGCTGGGTTGACCCCTGTCTTTATAAGTTTCATCCCCACAGTCCATACGTAGCTGGGTTGACCCCTGTCTTTATAAGTTTCATCCCCACAGTCCATACGTAGCTGGGTTGACCCTGTCTTTATAAGTTTCATCCCCACAGTCCATACGTAGCTGGGACCCTGTCTTTATAAGTTTCATCCCCACAGTCCATACGTAGCTGGGTTGACCCTGGTCTTTATAAGTTTCATCCCCACAGTCCATACGTAGCTGGGTTTACCCTAGTCTTAGTGCACCTCATTCTTATCTCCGATAATCTGGTTTGTTATAAAATTTAAACACCAAACAAACTTTGAAGGACGTACGTAAAACACAGTTAATCGTAGAGTACAAATAGCTCTACAAACACATGTAGTGACTAGAAGAGCCTTACTCGAAGAAACAAATCATAAAGTAAATGGTTTGAACCCGGGAGTATCGTTACATGTTTGTAAACGTAGATCGTCCAGGTTGGTATAGTCCTGAGAAGGTCTGTTTTTGTTGTTGTTGACTGACGTTTCGACAACCTTAGCGGTAGTCATCTTCAGAGTAAAAAAAAAATGGTTTTCGCTAAGGTTGTCGAAACGTCAGTCAAGAACAACAAAAACAGTCCTTCTCAGGACCATACCAACCTGGACGATCTACATTTACAAACATGAAACACATCATATTGCGAAAAGAATAACCTTGGTCTTTCCACTTTTCATTCCCAATTGCTTATAACCTCGGCGTTATACCTATACATTTCCTCCTCTTGTCTATGTGTGCATGTATGCTTTATTTATTATAACTTATTTTGCTCGTTTTTGTTACAGCTGTTGCCCCAAAGCGTGCTCCATGGGACTATAAAGGTCGCATGGAGGATATGGAGCAGTATCTGGGTACATTAAAAAGTACACAGCAAGAAAGCATTCAAAGGATTGAGATGTTGGAGTCACAGAAACACCAACTTCAGGGAAACGTTGTGATGAAAGAGAAAGAAATGGAAGAAGTATGTATTTTGAATGATTTGGGTTTTTTGAAATGCATAATTGCTTTTCTCTGTTAGGAACTTACGACGAAACATTGAAACATTACATTGGTGTGGTCGACCTGTAAATCTGGTCGTGTTATTCAAATTTTTTAGTGTTTAATAACTGTTAAAACATTTTCTTTAAACATGATTGATGATAGTGCTCTAAAATTTACATACCTGAAGTTATACTTGCGGGCTTACTACGCTAATGAAACATTTAAGTGACTAAAGCCTGTTTTCCACTAGCCACGTATCGTAGCAAAACGTAACATGGCGCATGCGTGCTTATGAATTTGATGGTGAATAGGCGCGAGCACGCATGCGCCGTGTTACGTTTTGCTACGATACCTTACGATACGTAGCTAGTGGAAAACAGCCATAAGTCAGGTTTTTTTTATTGCCGATCTGATTTTATGACTTACCCATGGATTAGAAATGCTGCCTGAAAACATTCGTCTTTGCCAACTTTTTTGCCTTAGTATTTCTTACGGAACTGTGAAGTTTCCTTCGATGGAGATGCATGAATATAAGCTGTACGTTTATGTCGGCGGATTGTTAAGCTTTTCCGTGTCTGTTTTTTGATAAATTTAATTCAAAGTGATCTGAACCCACTGGATTAACGATGTTAAAACGATATTTTCACGATATTTAAAAACTATATTTAAAAACGGTATTTAAAAACGATATTTAAAAACGATATTTAAAAACGATACTTTCACTTCATTGAGTGCTTGCTTTGAAAAAAAAATAGCGAAATTCTGATGAAGAAATTAGTTTGCTGTTGATTTTAAGGAGCGCGATTTCTTTGTCGCACCTCTAAAGTACGTATGAGAGTTAGGGAACATTTCGAGTCTGTTGGGTCTTACTCATTTAAATGGTTTTTTTTACATACGTAGTGGACTTTTTTTAGTAGTGAATATTTTTGTGTTAAATATATTTTGTGTCCTCGTTGACAAAGCTTTTTCTTCAGGCTACAGCATTGAGTAAGAAATTACAAAAGCGACTGAATGAAAAGACAGAAGTTGAGGAAGAGTTAAGAGGCGAAATCGAGAGGGTGTCGTCGGAAAAAGATTTGATTGATCGCGAAAGAGAAGAGTTTAAGTTTGAACTGGAACTATCGCAAAATGAAGTGAAAACTTTAAAATTGAAGATGTCGACGTTGTCATCCGAACTGCTTGGTGTAAACACTGAGTTAGATGCTAGTAAGGTACGTATGTCGTGCAAAAACTGCCAATCTTCATATATATATATATTCCTACGCATATTAGTAAAAGTAATTTTTTTTAAACGACAAAAAACAGATCGTAATAAAGTAAATGGTTTGAACCGTAAATGTAAATGTTTGAAAAGTAAATGGTTTGAACACGACAAAAAAACAGATCATCGTAAATCATAATCAAACTCGCCTCGTTTGTTTATTGTATTTTATTGTGTAAAAATTCCCAGTGTCATACGGCGTGTATATCTTTAGAGACATAATATGTTTATGCGTGTATTGCTGTGCAGGCAGCCGCACAAATATTTTATCCCTAATTATGTATTGTGTTGACAATTTAAGGATGCTTACAAAAAAGCAAAAATGGAAAACGATCGTCAGGCAAGTGTTATTTTACAATTGGAAAGTAAGATACGCGAACATCAAGATAGTATTTGTGAACTGGAGGCGAGACTTCGAGGTGAGGAAACACTACGACGTCAGCTTCATAATAAAGTTCAAGAGTTGAAGGGTAACATTCGCGTCTATTGTCGTGTTCGGCCAAGTCTGCCTTCAGAAACTAGTGTTTCGCTTACTAATATGGAGTTCACTAATGACACTGATATTATTCTACACAATAACAGCAAGGTATGTGTTTATTTATGAAGACGTTTCAATCTTTTATTGGGAACATTACGCTGTTGTCAAAAATACTTACACGCACATAAACTTGCCAACGTTGTCTGGTGAAGTTTGAAGGTTTATTGATTCAAATGTTTTGCGAACTTTCCTGTTTAGTCAAGTGCTTCATCTAACAAAAGCCAACAAGCCAGAATGTCATTTTCATTTGACAAAGCATTTTGTCCAGAAACGACTCAAGGAACGGTCTATCAAGAAATATCACAGCTAGTTCAAAGTGTGCTTGATGGATACAATGTTTGCATCTTTGCGTATGGTCAGACTGGATCAGGTAAAACATTTACAATGGAAGGTGATATCAATGGTCGAGAAACGTGGGGTATGATACCACGTGCTATGGAACAAGTCTTCTTTAGCGCTGAGGAGCTCACGAGTAAAGGTTGGAAGGTAATGTCAATTTTGGACACAAAGAGTATATTATTAGTGACGAGAGTGGACATTTCAGAAAGATACATGTAGTTCACGAGTAAAGGTTGGCAGGTAATGTCAATTTTGGACACATGAAGTATATTATTAGTGACAAGAGTTGCAATTTCAGAAAGATACATGTAGCTCACGAGTAAAGGTTGGCAGGTAATGTCAATTTTGGACACATGAAGTATATTATTAGTGACGAGAGTTGCAATTTCAGAAAGATACATGTAGCTCACGAGTAAAGGTTGGCTGGTAATGTCAATTTTGGACACATGAAGTATATTATTAGTGACGAGAGTTGCAATTTCAGAAAGATACATGTAGCTCACGACACATGATTATGTTAAATCGCTCAGTTGGGGTTTCTCCAACCATTCATTCAATCATGATTTTCCCCATAAATTTATGTAGTACGAGATACAAGCGTCTTTTCTCGAAATATACAACGAGACAATACGTGATCTCCTTGGAAACCCTGACAGCAAACATGAGATTAAACAAGTAACCACAAACAATGGCAAACAAGCGAACGATGTGTTCGTTACCAACTTGAAAACCGTGGCCGTTACATCATCCGATCAAGTAAGTAGCATTCTGTTTGGTCATCGGCCGAAGTCGTTACGGTGCCGTACGAAAGGCTGTAACACGTGTGCGCAAGCAAGATTTTTTTGAGGAGGTTTTTGATTTCAGTTTTTTGGAATTGCGGTGGTAGAGTTAGTTATCTGTGTAGTTTTAATTTTATCTCGTTTTAGTTTATGGTTTCTAAGTGTTTTTAAAAACTTTGTTTCTCCTTAGTTTGACGTTTTTAGCTCTCCATTATTGAAGCATACCATGATATCGTTGAATTTCATAATAAGTTTTCTCGTACTGAGATGCCGTCTACGTACGTCTCCTACGTCAATCGCCATCTCCTATGCAACGCAAAAAATTATGTGTTTGTAAATGTAGATCGTCCAGGTTGGTATAGTCCTGAGAAGGACTGTTTTTGTTGTTGTTGACTGACGTTTCGACAACCTTAGCGGTAGTCATCTTCAGAGTTCATCTCTGAAGAGTCATTTTGACTCTGTAGATGACTATCGCTAAGGTTGTCGAAGTCAGTCAACAACAACAAAACAGTCCTTCTCAGGACTATACTAACATGTAACGATACTCCCGGGTTCAAACCATTTACTTTACTGCAAAAAATTATGGTTGACAATAAGTACTTAATACTTCCCTCTCTCAGCATCCGTGGTTTCTCAAGAATCACAGCAATCGGCGACAAAGGAAGTCAATGCACCAGCCTCAGAAAGGCAACACATGCAGCCTCAGAAAAGGCAACACATGCAGCCTCAGAAGAGGCAACACATGCAGCCCCAGTTTTTTTGTTATTTTTTATCTATATTTTAAAATTTTCATACTCTAGGTGTCAAGTTTACTTCGAAAGGCTTACGAAAATCGTTCTGTGGCCGCTACAAACTGTAACGATCGCTCGTCGAGAAGTCACTCTGTCTTTCAACTAAAACTCCTCGGGAGTAATGAGATTACTGGGGAACAAAGTCAAGGCAGGATTACGCATATTTATGTTTTTTTGTCTTCAGTTTAAGAATTTTTGAAATAGTTTGTCACATTAGAATATGAATGTTGACTATCGACTTAGTTCTATATGATTAGTCCAGCTTTTATTTTGCTTTAACACCTTTCCCCACCGTGAAACAGGGACGGCGCAACGAAATTGAATCTGGAGGGTAAGACATATATTAACTAAATTTACTAAGTCTTACCTTGCCTTTAATTAAGCTAAAATGTACAAATCTTAGCAAAAACTTTATCTGGGGAAAAAGTGTGGGGTGCTCTAGTCCCCACTCCCTTTGGCGCCGTGGCTGTAAATGTCTCCTCGATATTTATTATATATTCAGTAGCAAAAGATGTGCAAAATTGTTATCTATTGTTTTGCGATGACGATGGGCTAAATTTTTTCAGGGTTATTGAGTTTGGTTGATCTGGCGGGTTCTGAAAGAATAAGTCAATCCGGATCAACAGGATTAAGACTTAAGGAAGCTCAAAACATCAACAAGAGCCTCACAAATTTGGGTATAGTCTTCAACTCCTTGGCTAACAAGGTAAGCATATACGTACCTTATGATGGATGAACTTTAATTCATTGACAAGAAATATGATTTTTGTATTTGATTGATTAACGTTGCACAACGTGATTTTTAAAACATTACATAAATATAAGAAAATTATGTACATCTGCAACAATTTTTGTATTTTATTGATTAACGTTGTGCACCACGTGATTTTTAAAACATTACATAAATATAAGAAAATTATGTACATCTGCAACAATTTTTGTATTTTATTGATTAACGTTGTGCACCACGTGATTTTTAAAACATTACATAAATATAAGAACATTTTGTACATCTGCAACAATAGACCGTTCTTTGAAATTCCAACAGTAAAAAATTGCATGTTTAGATTATTTATTCCAGCAATTAAATGCTCGCGTCTTTTTTTAAATTTACTCAATCATACTTAGCTGTACTGTATAGAGAGATGATGCATATATAGTCAAATAAATTATACTACATTTTAGGATAGTCACGTGCCTTATAGAAACTCGAAATTAACTTATTTGTTGCAAAACTCTCTTGGTGGTAACAGTAAAAGGTTGGTATTACCGAGTGTATAGGTATCAGATTTTCATCAATGTACACACGTCAATGTAGATGACATGAAGTATTAACATGTTTTAATTGTAATAATTGGTGTATGTAAATGATATATTCATATTTCAGTTTGATGTTCGTGAATGTTTCTCCCCGCGAGGACTCTTTCCAGGAAACCTTATGTTCACTTCGATTTGCAACGCAGGTATGATTCGTATATGTGATAGCATGGTTTCGAATGCAATTCGGGAAAAACATGCGCGAGTGAGTTTTTCAAAGGCTATCAAAATTGCCCGAGTCCGAAGGACGAGTTACTTATTGATAATATACATGAAAAATTTCTCAATCCTGCCGGCAAGTTATAAATATCGACCGACTCGTATTTTTGAATTCCGTCAAATATTACTTTTCACAACATCATAGCTTCCCACACGCAGCTAGAACAAGGAACTACTTTTAGCAGTGTTCATGTTTTCATACAGAAATACTTTGCAAACGGTGAACTGTAAACTCGTTCGCCAAAGAAAATCAACTTGAAACTTCGCCAGCCGTTGTATTTGCTTTGTTTACAACAACTTAAACTTTCCCGCCTTCGAAATATTGATTTATGATTGGCTCTTACGTAGATCACTTCTTTGTTTGACTAACAATTAGGAGTACAGTTTTCAAAAATAAATCGCACTGCTCATAACCAATCAGAATTGAGAAATTTTTTCATGTATATTATTCTAAACACAACTTTACACCATATGACCAACCTTACACCATGTGACCAACCTTATACCATATGACCAACCTTACATCATATGACCAACCTTACACCATATGACCAACCTTACACCATGTGACCAACCTTACACCATGTGACCAATAATAAGACTTCTTCACTTACGTTCATGTGGTATTGTTTTGCTTTTCAGCTTGACGTTGATATTTTATTTTCAATTTCATCAACCTTTCGTTTCATTCTTCAATATGTAGCTTTGTTTGTTTTATTTTAAGGTAAACAATTGTAATATTGGTACTGCTCAAAAAGTGAAGAAGTGATTTCTCAAGGCTAACTTTGTAGATAAAAATTAAATTTATTTGCGCGGAATTTCGTCGCAGTTTTATTGATATACATCATAAGAATGATAATTTTAAGAATTTGAGAACTACTTCTTCATAGGAATAATAGCGTTATAAAGTATTAAATGATAATTTACTGTGCACGAGACAATACCTCAGTTCATATAACGCTACATTCTGGGTCTCACATAAACTTATATTGCTGGCGGTGAAAATTGATAGGAGTAGTTTAGCACCTTTAGTTATAACATCAGACTAGCACGCTAGTAGCAAAGATTAAAGCAGTTTGAAATGTTCTTGTTGAATGAATATGTTACATATAAGAAATAGAAAACATTTTCCAACTTTCTGTAAAGTTATATAAACACGCGGGAAAATTTGGGAGAAAAGAGAAATTGCGTGGCCTGCACGAAGTGCGAGATACATCCTGAAGCGAGATCTTTGCTTCAATATTTTGATTAGCATACGGGCATTTATCATTGGTCACGTGCTTTAGTAATACTGTGAAATACACTTGTGAAAAATCGGCTTGAGTACTCTACGTGTACTGAATGAAAAAGTTAAATTGAATCCAATATTTTCTCTCGTTACGCGTTCCGAAGGAAAAATCAAGCAATCAAATGTAGCGAGAATAAGCCACGTAAAGAATATTATCTATAATGTTTGTAATTATTAATAATGCACATTATTTAATATTTTTGAAGATTTAAGATTTTTTGAAATCATTAATTAGAGCGACATGATCGTTTGCATCATGCAAGACTCGAAATATTAACGACTAGTTTGTATCTGTTCGATTGTTGTGTGTTCAATTTAAATAGCTAGTTCTTATACGATGATAACTAAAATAGAATTCAACATCATAAAGGCTCATATTACAAATTAAAAATGAAAGATGAATTTCCTTTTGTGTATATATATATATATACAAAATGTAAATACAATGTGCCCTCCCGGCTATCACCACAGTGCAATGGTGACTCCTGCACTTGGGACACAGGGCGTACGGTTTATACATATGCATAAAAGGATAAAAAGTTTCTCCGGATTTTAAATGACTTTTTATTGAGCTTTCGACTCGTTGCTTCGAGCCTTCATCAGAATGAGGATATTTATGTACACGTGCTTTTAGCTTGGAGACGAAAATGATTGGTAATATATTCACAATACACCAAAACCCATGGCAACGCATTTCAACCCATCCAATCACATTAATCCAACCACTAATCCAATTAGACGCTCTAAACGTCTACGGCGATGATCCGTAGGGCGATCTTCGTAGGTCTTCGTTGCCCTACGGCGATCTTTGTTGCCTGAAGATCGCCGTACGGCGTGAAACTCCGAGTAGCGACAGCAAACACTTGTCCATTTTATTTCATTTTATATATATATATATATATATAGCTTGCACATCTATAGCTAGCTACCTGCAATAAATATTTATGTACGAGTAATATTTTATAAATGTTAAATAATTATGCTTTGCTGTTTCCATTAGCCATTAATTAGATCATGCTAAAATGTTCAAAGTGGAAGTTATCATGTGATACATTGTACTGTAAAGCACATTGTGAATCAACCATATTCAATTTTTTTAAACATCCATGATTCTGCTGAAATTACAATCGAATACGAAATCCTCTAAAAAAGAGAATTTACAAGTCCAAAATGAGTATTAGACTATGAATATGCTTTAAACTTGCAAAATTATTCACTTTTATTCATTTGGATGCTTGTTTGGGGAATAAAATTATTTTCAACTTACAAACAGTAAAAGAGTAGACTGGCTTGTTACTTTTTCACATCCAATTGAAATCATTGAATCATATCAAATGAAGATAAGTATAGTCAAACGACGTAGTATAGCCGTCTATACTACTATTACTAATATTAAATGACTATTGCATCGAAAATTTTTACAGAAATGAGTAGCTAGTGTATAACACAAGTTAAAGTGGATGTTAAATCAATAAACTCACCTAAGAAAATCCGGAGCTTTAGACATGACGTTTTCAAATTCGGCGAAAGATAGTTGATCGTCTCCATCTAAATCTGCTTCATGTAATATCTAAACAACCATATGGTAAATAAGTATAAGACAGCTATTTTTTTCATAACTGCTTGAAACTTTCAGCCGTAGTCATAAATTCATCGAAGAAGGAATTGTTATATAATAACAAAACAATATGGTGTGTGCATATTTTTAATTATTTTATGCATTTCTTTTAATACATATGAAACATGAAAATGTTTGCTTTGAGGTAAGAACAACAAATTAAATATTAAAATGCAATGATTCGTTGTATAAATATACTGCAGTATAGCAACATAAAACGATACTTTCTTATTCATCTTTAACTGAAATTTTGTGATAAAAGAAAGCAATAACAATTTAATGTCGGCCGCATGGAAAAAGACTTTATGCTTTGTAATTTTTATAACTTTATTCTATTTTGGTAAATCCGTATTTTGATGTTTTGTGCTCTATTATTTTCACAATTATTTTGCATTATTATGTGGCAAGCGTCACTTCAGGCTAAGTGTCGCGCTTTGATTGGCTCAGAAACATTTTTGCCGGTCTATTATTTTCCAGTAATTGACCACCGTTCAAAACGCGTAATTCTACAGTTAAATGTAAACAAACTTCGTAATGCAAACAGCAAAACGCAAAATAAACGAAACAAAAAACCATTTAAGAATGTGATTCGAAGGGAAAACGCCTTAAAAACAGTTAAACTATCCAGACGATACAATTTGAAACAATTTATTTTTTATGGCCGAAAACTAGAAAAGTGAAAATCAACCCGCAAAAACAGCAAGGACGAGAAAGAAAGCAAGCTTCGTTTTAGGTCAAATAATGCCATATATTAATCCTTTTAATAACCTTGCTTTCTCAGTCTTTACTGAGAAATATCGGACCTCTGTCTTTTTGTACAAACCTCGTCCTACGGGCTCGGTCTGTCCAGTATTTCTCCGTAAAGACCTCGAGCTCAGTTATTAAGGGCTTATTGATACGCTGCGATTGCTATACACAGGAAACTTTTATGTTGCTTTCTCATACATACTTCAGAGATGGCATTGTCAATGTTTTTTTCCGACATTTCGTTTTCACCGGCCAATTTTCTCATCAATATTTTCATATCTTCCTTGCAAATATAATGATCGTCATTAAAATCTAAATAATGAAAAGTAAATTTGAATTATCTTCATTGAAATATCGATAAATCGGAGTGAAATCATGGCTGTAAAATGCTTATTTGTCGCAATTTCGTAAGCTTAATGTCGTTACTATAAAAATGACAATTTGGTAATTACCTAAATTATTAAACTTATTTGGTCATTTTAATTATAATGCAATGACAAATTTTTATTTGTTAAATTTAATTGGTTTGCTGTACAATAAATCAAAATACGGGCTAATCATGTCTTACAACTTTAAAATACAGAGAGAATTTTCCATGTTTTTCCATAGAGTTATAGAAACACGCAGGAAAGTTAAGGCAAAACGAAAAATTACGTGACAAGCACAAAGTGTGAGTGTTTCCAAGCAATTTCGAGTTCCTCCCAAACTTTCACAAGTGTTTGAGTTTCCATGACTTAAAAGGTAAATTCGTCAATTTTAATAACAAATTGTTTGTATTTTGCCATTAATTTCCCGCACAAATCACGCAATACGCGAGCTGAAGCTCCCAGCATTATAGAGCAATAGAACACGGTTTTTTTTAGCCATCTATACCAATCAACGGTCTTGATTTTCAATAGTTATTTTATGTTTGTATCAATAAAGAATAAACAAAGCATATCATAGCTACTAAATTAACGAATTTGTACCATAAATCAAGAAGGCATATTGAATCTTCAACGTCATTGGTGCCTGCATGATGAAAGGAAACAAAAATTATTGGCACGTTGAAAAATTCAAACTAAAGGATTTTATAGTACATATGTACGATGTAGCTAGATGTAGCTAGATGTAGCTATTACTCACTGCTTCGCTGAACACGGACATCATATTAAGAAAATCTTCAAACGTCAACGCTCCGTCATCAGTTGATGAAAAAACTTTACATATACGATCTTTGAATGGGTTTACCTGTCGACATGAATAAACATGAGAAATATTGATCATTGTGAGCATTATACGTACTCAGGTTATACATAGGGCCGATTACATGTGGAAATTTCAGCCCGGGCGGAGGTCAGTCAGTCCGCGCTGAATGTGTTTGTGATTATCAATTTAACCCGGCCTGAAATTTACGAGGCTTGTCCGAAGCATGTTCGCCAGTTGCCGTTAAATTCAAAACGGTGCAAACTCTAAAAAACATGGTCGCGTACGCCATATTTTTAGGATATCATAACAGGCCCGGGCTGAAGTTTCAGCTCAATAAACATGGCTGCAATTGCTTCATGTAATCAGTCTCTTAGAACTCGTGGATATTCACGAAAATTTTTGATCATTTTTGAAAATGTTATTGGCATCACATATTAATCATGAATACTAACCTGAATAACACACTGCATCTGTGGAACTTAGGAATCACGATTAAATAGTCATAAGAAATAGTCATTACTTACCTTCAGTTCTGGAAATTCGAGAATCTTATCTGATGTCAATCTTGCATTTCTGTTTCGTTCCACTGCGTCTTTGTCTAACTTCTTGAAACACTCGTGAGCACTAAAAAATGATACGTTTAGTCTGTTTAGAGGTGAAAATTTGAAAAAGAGTACCCCTGTTGCTTGTCTAAAACTGTCGGTGAACATTTAAGAAACATAAGATGTTTACTTGTTTGCACAGGCTTATGCAAACCAAGGAGACTTTGGGGTCAACCAAGTTTCATTTGCCTTTGTACTCCACCGTTTCATTTTACTTGTTATAGTAGTTACTCTGCTTGACTTACCGAATAATTTCGTGCTTTGTCAGATAAGTCAATTCCTGTTAAAATAATTGTATATAAATTTTATGCTGTTATCAATAAATTACGAACAGATTGATGCAACAACAACCATACGATGGTAGAGAATCGTAGATTATTCCTCAGAAAGTTTTCACATTAAATCAAAAATTTTTGTTTTTGTGCATATTGGATGGAGATTTGACAGATAACCGTCGTGCTGCTCTGGATTCAACTTTGACGATAAGCAACATGACGAAAGACGCTCCTGGCGCTCAAGTATAAGATGTAGAAACATAGCATTTTGTCGAACAAGGGAATATTCGAGATGAAAAACATTGCGTCATTTTGAGCACAATCAATACATGAGCATTTTGGTTGCTGTGGCTTTATTACCTTGAAGGTTTTGTGCGTTAATCTTAAATATATTACTTTAATGTTGATGTTTGTTTACAGATTATTTACAATTTATAACTTTACATGCATGTATATAAGTTAATTTGAGAATTACCTATGCATTCTCCAATTATGTAAAGACGTGAATTTGTGCCCATTTCTTGTTACATAGGGAGTTAAAAAGGATTTGTCTTTTATGCAAAATATTTTACCTCATATTCTTCAAGCTCTTCTGCGCTAAACTCTGACTGTTGAGCACCCATACCAAACGATGAATTGAGCGACAAATATATTTAAATTACATACCTGAATAAACGTTTAAACCCACGCGAAACTTAACATTTTATATTAATGATATATTTATTAATATGTTTGACATTCACGTTCCAAGTAGTCATTGGATGAAATGTTGGTTTAAACATGAGAGAAAGACAATATTTGAAAGATATTGATGATCTAATAGACTGATAATTTAATGGAGTAAGGACAAGAGAACGAACTTTGTAAATCTTTGCATGTTTTCTCTTGTAAATTATCTTGAGAAATTGCACAAAGAAAGTTTTGAAATGCGCTTTCTTTCATAAAACCGTTTTCACTTTATAAAAAAAACCTTTATCTTTAAATGGTAATTTATATCTACTGACAATCACCTGATCAGCACTGTTGCCTAGCTCACTTATTCGCTTTGTTTTCCTTAGGTCGACATATTTCTTTTTCTGAAAACAGTATGTCTTAGTCTGTCTTTCTAAATCACAATCCAGTCACATTGTACAGATCACCAATTATACCATTAAATGACCTCAACATATGCATTGCTTCAAGAAGTGGGGCTTTATTGATCTCTTAATCAACACTTTTTTTATTGACTTATAAGGCAACCCTTAATCTCTGTAACTTACTTCGCCTTTTTGGTTATTAACCAACTATCAAGCCTCTAAACTAGTTAAATTATTGTTGTGTGTTCTTTATAGCTTTCCAAAAAATTAAGAAGTAAATGCTGAGCGCAGAGCTATTTTCCTAAACAACTTTAAGAAGAAGCAATTGATGAACCTTGGTTCCGGCCACGCTCCGAAAATCTTCATTCTTAGGTTACTTTTCTAAAACGCTAAAAGGCCATACAGCGATATTAAGAATCTTACTAACCACGCAAGGCAATCAAATGTAGGCTATTTGGAGTTCATCTTACCATCTATCGGATGTGGTTGTTATTTTGTCTCAATGTACAGTCTAATACAAGTGATGCCAATTTTGGAAGTAATTATCTTGTTGTTAATGACGACAAGGAGCAGTGACTTCATTTAAAGATGATTTGAATGACATTAACCAGTTTAACTGAACTGATGTCTCCTGACGCCATTTTCAAGGTGCACAGGCTGAGATAATAACATGACTATTTTGACAACATTCACTTTAAACAATGAAATAGTGAAATTTCTTAATCAGGAATGCTAGAATATATCCATATAGCATTTCGTTTCTAAATTGTACATTACAGATTGTCTTAAAAACCGAATCTCTTTTAAATTTAACCGTGAGTGAAATTATTAGCTGTGCTCTTCCACAAGATTGAATACTTCTGCGAGGTAACACGTTAAATTAGAAATAATTAGTTTTCAACACAGTAGGTCCTTTTGAAGACAATGCCAATTATAGTTTTCAAGCTTGTTTAATTCGTTTTATGGGAACAACAAACGCGGACATATAACATTTCCTTAATTATGAAGCAGCCAATGTAGCTGTATATAAAATTTGTCACTTCTTCAAGTGTTATATTTTAGAATTGTAGGCGAACGACCTCAAACACCGGCACATCGCGCATTTTAAAAATCAACAGCTGTAAATAATTAAAATGAAGTTGGTCTCACAAATTTCTCGGTAATTAGTATATAGTGAGCTATTTATGATTTCTGTCTTTCTTTTAATCTGCGAGGGATTTTACATTTCAAAACCTCTCTCAAAATGGCGTCATGCTACTTATGTCACACATGTTCGATGAATCATCTAATATAGTTCTTGTTTTTGTACATGCATATGATAAGTTAGAGTGTTTATTAATTGAGCAGGGAAACCTTCCTCAGGGGTTATAGCTGTGTATTTGCAGCTTTTTTTAAGGCCTTGTCCACACGTAGCTGTATATTTTCAAAAACGAAGGTTTTTTTCTCTGTTTTGGCCTTCCGTTCTCACGCAACCGACGTTTTCATTGACAAATACGGAGATTTTTAAAAACACTCTTCAGACTGTATTTTTTTGAAAACGCCGGCTATTTGAATACGTGTAGACAGCTAAAACGGAGATTTTCAAATACAATGGCATCAAAACTAGGATCCAGGCCACAAACTCTAATAATTTGTGCTTATTCTTGCGTATTTTGGCAATTTAGCATATTCGTGTGGACGGTAAATACGATTCTTAAATATCCGGATACGTGTGGACAAGGTCGAAGTCTAAAGACTACGGAAAACAAGTAATTTCATCCAGTGGCAGATCCAGTGTACGTCAAAATAAATTATTGCTCCTCAATTTTAAATTCAAATTGCTTTCAGAAAAGCACTATTGGTTTTTAATTTCTAAAGAATATAATTTTACCAATGAATTTACCTCTAAGGTGTTTAGAAATGTAAATATACGCCAAAATGTGCTGCAGTAATTTATTTTGACATAGTCTGGACCCGCCACTGAATTCAGCCTCAAGCCCAGAGTAATTTTTTGCTCTCATATGAGTCCTTGTCGTGTGATCAGTAAAAATGCGGCGGGGTAAAGAATATTTTAGGAATATCTACTAGAAATGCTGTATCTATGCAGCAAAAATTGAATGGTTTGGTATTAAAATATTTTACAAGTCGTTAAACATGTCGAATGAGCATGAATGATAAAGTATAAAGTATAAACAATAATTTGGTCGTCAGATCACGGACATAATGGTAAAACTCTTGATTGTGAGAATTTACTTAGGAAAGGTGTCTTATTTATCTGATTATATTTTTTATTTATAAAATTGACGTGTGTCAAGGATTATAAATAGATTGTTTTTCAGTTAAATCGAGCATGACAGATTATCAAAGATCTACATTAAATTTTTGTGAAGACAACTGAACAATTTCCTCGCTAATTTCCCACAGTCGTTTGGCTCCATCGTCGTCTTCCGCTGTATATGCTGGTTTTACCTCTTCACAATCCACAAAATACTTTCCAGTAACATTTGCTACGTCTTCAGACACAGCAAGGTGTATTGTCGTCTGCGCGCCCTCCTCAAGCGTCTTCAACAGCACATTTGAAATAAAATTCAAGAATTTGTCTAAGGTTCTTGTGAAGGCATTGCGACCAATTTCCGTATAAATGGTGCCAGGATGAAGTGAGTTTGCAGTAACACCGGTTCCCTTTAAACGTTTAGCCAATTCACGAGTAAATAAAATATTAGCAAGTTTGCTTTGTCCATAGGCTTCCCAGTTGTAATAAGACTTTTCAAATTGCAAATCATCCAGTTTTATCGAGGATTTTGTTGAAAAAATATGATAATATGCTTGCGAAGATACGACAACGATACGAGAAGGAGCTGAACGACGAAGTAGATCTAGAAGTAAATTTGTCAACAGGAAATGTCCAAAATGATTCACTGCCATTGTTAATTCAAGACCATCTTTGCTCACTTGTCTTTCAGTGGTACTAACTAAACCTGCATTATTTATCAAAACATCGATTTTGTCTTCACTGCTGTATATTTCTTCAGCAAATTTTCTCACTGACTTGAAGGAAGAGAGATCCAAATGCTTCAATATTATATCATTATTACCCGTTTGTTTTACAATATCATTTAAGGCAGCTTCACCTCTCTCTAGACTTCGACACGCCATAATAATTCTTGCCCCGCGTGAAGCAAGATCAATCGCAGTTGATTTACCAATTCCTGTATTTGCTCCTGTTATAATAATAGTTTTTCCTTTCATTGTTGCCTTACTTGTACATACTCCACCAGCAATATATTTCCTCAGCAAAGGAAATGTAAATCCTAATAGTGCTACAAACGCTGCAAGACGAAAAAATAAACCCATCTCTTCACCATGTGGTTCGTCAAATAATAAACTAAACCGAGAATCTCTCAGTATTATGTAAAATTGCTTGGGTTTTTGTTTAGTGGTACTGCAGTTTGGTGCGAACACTTGTGATCATGCGTAGTATGTCCGTACGGTTGAACTTTGATCGAGCTATTTGTGCCATACTCCACTGATATGAGTGTTGAATTGTGTATTTTCTTAGTTGTATAATATGAAGCATACTCCGAATAGAAGACTCATGTTTAACTCAATATTTGAGAAAGAAACAAGAAATTTTGTTTGTACGACAGTTCATCTGCATATTATACTTACTGCAGTTAACTGCGTTAAGCAATAAATTTCAGAAAGAATACAGTAACAGAGACGTTTGTGGAAACACTCGAGCAGATGCAACCCTCACCCTTGAGTCTCGGGCATGCACTGATGAGCTCTCGAGTTCTCCCAAAGATCTCCTCGGTTTGCATAAGCCTGTGAAAACACAGTAAACATTTTTTTATGCAATGAAGAAAAGAAGTGCAAGCACATCCAATTTGTTGTTTTGGTGACAATGAACTCGAGCAATTGGTCACTGTTCTTGTGCGGATAATTTCTCTAATTTTTTGTTATCGAGCAAGCTAGTTAATTTGAAATCCGTATAAGTAAATACAGTTGACTCCTACTTATGGTTCAACAAGGCCACTGATATTAAATTTTATTAATAGTAACGTTTCGTCCTATGTTCCGTCTTACGTTTTATGTTGGGCAATAGTATTTATATCAAGAATTTTTTCTACGCCTGGCAAATCCATAGTCACAATATTGAATAATGGTTCAGTGAATTCATGAATTTTGCATGGCATTGTGCATGTTTTTAGTCGCAAGTTGACGTATTTTCCACTTGTTTCAGCATAATTAAAGCTTTATTGGAAGCGTATCGCAGTCAGTAAAATGAAGGGTTAATCAATAAACTAGAATGCATTAAGAAAAATAGAAACAAAAGATCCTAGCTTACACGGTGACACCAATAGATTCAAACTGACAGTTATATTTATTAAATTTTCTTTTTTTTCAATGTAGTCTTGTTTCCATAGAATATTGTCGTGCATAATGTAGTAAATACCCTTTCCTCTCTGAAATATTTTCATACCCTTTGACAAGCAATTCCACGTTTGAAAATTTCATTAACGAGATAGCCTGCCAATCGGTTGCCACTATATGTAGGGATATTAGTTTCATTGTAGTTAAGAAATGAAGAAAAGTTGAAATTGGTGAAATGCTAATAAATTTTTAAGAACAATTAATTTTCGTGGAAAATAAACAAAACTTTTTTGCAGTTTGGAAATCTTTATTTGTACTCCAATGTTGCTTGGTAATTTGTTATTGTAAAATCGTTAATAAAAAATTTGCTGCTTGAGATAACGCGCACCGTATAATAACACTGTAATTTACGTTGTTTTTTTTGTCATTGATAAATGTAGACGTAATTCTTCCTATTGAGCTAGAAGAAGTTTCCAATTTGTCATTATAGCTCAAAATAACTAGTATCCTGTGTCACGAAATGATTTGTTATAAATAAAAGTAGAGGTTCAGCTGACAGTGAGTTGTTGCTCAATAAGATAGTCAAAATTGTAAACTAAAGTCGATTTTATTATTTAAAAGGACAAATCTCAGTGTGGATTATTGTGGACTAAACAATATGGCGTAAATACAAACATTACATGAAGTCTAAGGGTCTAGTCGCGCAACATTACGGAGCAAAGGTCATCTAAAACTAAGAAGACAATTGAGACTGGGACAATGTCCTCTAAGTTATAAGTACCCATACTAGTTACTCAAAAGAATGACACTCTGCGTGTGCCGTGGTTATCAAAACCGAGAAAATTACTTCATTGTTTGAAATAAAAACAATGTACGGTGGTACAGTGCGGGTTTTTTTAAAGAGATCATAAATCAAGAGGAAAAATTATATGTTTTAAACTCTTCACTTGTGAATGTCATATCTGAAGAGCCGTGAAACCTGCTATCTGTAGAGATATCATGTTACATTCCATTAAGCTAACCAAATAAACTATCATTGTAAATTGATGAGCACAACAGCTTTTGTTTTGAAATAAGATTGTTTTATTTTTGTGTAGATAATTGAACAATTTTTTCGCTAATTTCCCACAGTCGTTTGGCTCCATCGTCGTCTTCTGCTGTATGAGCTGGTTTTGTCTCTTCACAATCCACAAAATACTTTCCAGTAACATTTGCTACGTCTTCAGACACAGCAAGGTGTATTGTCGTCTGCGCGCCCTCCTCAAGCGTCTTAAGTAGTACATGTGAAATAAATTTTACAAATTTATTATAGTTCTCTGAAAATGCATCGCGAGCAATCTCAGTGCCAATAACGCCAGGGTGAAGGGAGTTTGCAGTAACACCGGTTCCCTTTAAACGTTTAGCCAATTCACGAGTAAATAAAATATTAGCAAGTTTGCTTTGTCCATAGGCTTCCAAGTTTGTATAGAATTTTTCAAATTGCAAATCATCCAATTTTATCAATGATCGTGTAGTAATAAAGGAATAATGAGCTATTGAAGATACGACAACGATACGAGAAGGAGCTGAACGACGAAGTAGATCTAGAAGTAAATTTGTCAACAGGAAATGTCCAAAATGATTCACTGCCATTGTCAATTCAAGACCATCTTCACTGACTTTTCTCTCAACTGTACTAACTGTTCCAGCATTATTTATCAAAACATCGATTTTGTCTTCACTGCTGTATATTTCTTCAGCAAATTTTCTCACTGACTTGAAGGAAGAGAGATCCAAATGCTTCAATATTATATCATTATTACCCGTTTGTTTTACAATATCATTCAAGGCAGCTTCACCTCTCTCTAGACTTCGACACGCCATGATAATTCTTGCCCCACGTGAAGCAAGATCAATCGCAGTCGATTTACCAATTCCTGCGTTTGTTCCTGTTATAATAACAGTTTTTCCTTTCATTGTTGCCTTACTTGTACATACTCCACCAGCAATATATTTCCTCAGCAAAGGAAATGTCAATCCTAATAGTGCAACGAAAGCTGCAAGACGAAAAAATAAACCCATCTGTTCACCGTGTGATTCAATTATAAACAATGCATATAAATTTAAGCAGAGTCTAACAGATTCATCAAACAGTTAACAAAGATTTTAAATTCTACGCTTGAAATGTTTTTTATTGTGGAACACTTGTGAGCATGCGTATTATGTCCGTTGAACTTTGATCGAGCTGTTTGTATCACATGTGACTATTACAAAAAACGCGTCAAATCAATCAATTAATTGCAAATTAAACATTAATATATTTTAAAAGAAAAATGAAAACGTTTGTTTTAAGTTTGTCTTTTTCGCGCTATTGTTATTTTATAAAAGAAATAAAAGTGGTTTTTCTTGTTTGCAATGGCTTATGAAAACCTCGAAGACGTTTGTATGACAGACTGAACGTACACTTCATTCTTCCAACAGTCAAGTAAATGCCAAAAAATATTTTTATTTATAGAGAAAGTCTGAGAAGGATTTTGTTGATTGACGATCTTATGGTAGTCATCTTCAGAGTCAAATGACTCATCTTTGACTCTGAAGATGACTACCGCTAAGGTTGTCGAAACGTCAGTCAACAACAACAAAAACAGTCCTTCTCAGGACTATACCAGCCTGGACGATCATCATTTACAAACATGTAACGATACTCCCGGGTTCAAACCATTTACTTTAGTAGAGTAAAGGTTAATGAACTACATGCTCCCTGATTACGCAACAAAATTCAACTTTGCACATTTACATGAATCATTGAATCATTGCCACCACGAATCACAAATCAATTACAAACGACAAAGTGGAAGGTTTCTAGCTGTCAACATTCTATATAAATTACGATGGTTACCTCCAAGTACTGTTGGCACTGGATTTAAAGTTAGGATCGTCAGTTCAAAACAAAGTAATACAGCTGAAAAGATCAACTGCATTTTAGTTTGGCAATTCTTCACCTTGCTATAGTATGCAATGCATAGAAATATACTGCGTTTCTAAGATATGCAAAAAGCATTAGTCACGTAAGCAGAGTATGGATGAGAAAGTCTATTTTGGCTTGTAGACATCTTCATTGAATTTCTCATATTAATGGTTTTGGGTAAATAGTTAGACGACACTTGATGGTGGTATGTTTTTGTCGTCCTACATACGTTAATGTTGTCCTATGTTAATGTTGTCATCCTACGTTTACATCATCCTTGTTCAAGATAGAGTGGATATTTAATTATAGAAGTCAAGAAACCAGCCAATTGTAGCGATATCATGTCACACTTTAATAAACCAACAAGATAACGTTGTAAATTGCTGAGAAGTACAGCTTTTGTTTTTAAATAAAATTGTTTTATTTTTGTGCAGATAGTTGAACAATTTCTTCACTAATTTCCCACAGTCGTTTGGCTCCATCATCGTCTTCTGCTGTATGAGCTGGTTTTGTCTCTTCACAATCCACAAAATACTTTCCAGTTACATTTGCTACGTCTTCAGACACAGCAAGGTGTATTGTCGTCTGCGCGCCCTCCTCAAGCGTCTTCATTACTACAGGTGAAATAAAATTCAAGAATTTATTAACGTTCTCCGATAATGCGTAGCGACTAAGTTCTGTGAAAATAACGCCAGGATGAAGAGAGTTTGCAGTAACACCGGTTCCCTTTAAACGTTTAGCCAATTCACGAGTAAATAAAATATTAGCAAGTTTGCTTTGTCCATAGGCTTCCCATTCGTTATAGGACTTCTCAAATTGCAAATCATCCAGTTTTATGTGCGATTTGGTATTTGCAATAGAATAATGAGCTCCGGAAGATACGACAACGATACGAGAAGGGGCTGAACGACGAAGTAGATCTAGAAGTAAATTTGTCAACAGGAAATGTCCAAAATGATTCACTGCCATTGTTAATTCAAGACCATCTTTGCTCACTTGTCTTTCAGTGGTACTAACTAAGCCTGCATTATTTATCAAAACATCGATTTTGTTCTCACTGCTGTATATTTCTTCAGCAAATTTTCTCACTGACTTGAAGGAAGAGAGATCCAAATGCTTTAATATTATATCATTATTACCAGTTTGTTTTACAATATCATTCAAGGCAGCTTGACCTCTCTCTAGACTTCGACACGCCATGATAATTCTTGCCCCACGTGAAGCAAGATTAATCGCAGTCGATTTACCAATTCCTGTATTTGCTCCAGTTATAATAACAGTTTTTCCTTTCATTGTTGCCTTACTTGTACATACTCCACCAGCAATATATTTCCTCAGCAAAGGAAATGTAAATCCTAATAGTGCAACGAAAGCTGCAAGACGAAAAAATATACCCATCTCTTCACCGTGTGATTCAATTATAAACAATGCATATAAAGTTAAGCAGAGACAAAGAATTTTGTAAATAAAATGGTGCTGGGTACTCTTACATTGTGAGCATGCGCATTAAACATTTCCGTTGAACTTTGATCGAGCTGTAGTATAATATTTCAGTCTTGAGAATTGCATTCAAATCAATTTTCTCTAATTATTGTAGACTAAAAATATGGCGTAAAAACAAATATTACATGAAGTCCGAAGGTCTAGTCGCGGAACATTACGGAGCAAAGGTCATCTAAAACTAAAAAGGCAATTGAGACTGGGACAATGTCCTCTAAGTTATATATACCCATACTAGTTACGCTCATGCGCGTAACTAGTATGGGTATATATATATATGGGCATGACGCTCAGCGTGTGCCGTGGTTATCAAAACCGAGCAAATTACTTCATTGTTTCAAAAAAAAAACAATGTACGGTGGTACAGTGCGGGTTTTTTTAAAGAGATCATATATCAAGCAGAAAAATTATATGTTTTAAACTCTTCATTTGTGAATGTCATATCTGAAGAGCCGTGAAACCTGCTATCTGTAGAGATATCATGTTACATTCTATTAAGCTAACCAAATAAACTAACATTGTAAATTGATGAGCATTGCAGCTTTTGTTTTGAAATAAGATTGTTTTATTCTTGTGTAGATAGTTGAACAATTTTTTCGCTAAGTTCCCACAGTCGTTTAGCTCCATCATCGTCTTCTGCTGTATGAGCTGGTTTTGTCTCTTCACAATCCACAAAATACTTTCCAGTAACATTTTCTACGTCTTCAGACACAGCAAGGTGTATTGTTGTCTGCGCTCCCTCCTCAAGCGTCTTCATTACTACATGTGAAATAAATTTTACAAATTTATTAAAGTTCTGTGGAAATGCATCGCGACCAATTTCAGTGCTAAAAACACCAGGATGAAGGGAGTTTGCAATAACACCAGTTCCCTTTAAACGTTTAGCCAATTCACGAGTAAATAAAATATTAGCAAGTTTGCTTTGTCCATAGGCTTCCAAGTTTGTATAGGATTTTTCAAATTGCAAATCATCCAATTTTATCAATGATCGTGTAGTAATAAAGGAATAATGATACGATGAAGATACGACAACGATACGAGAAGGAGCTGAACGACGAAGTAGATCTAGAAGTAAATTTGTCAACAGGAAATGTCCAAAATGATTCACTGCCATTGTTAATTCAAGACCATCTTCACTGAGTTTTCTCTCAACTGTACTAACTGTTCCAGCATTATTTATCAAAACATCGATTTTCTCTTCACTGCTGTATATTTCTTCAGCAAATTTTCTCACTGACTTGAAGGAAGAGAGATCCAAATGCTTCAATATTATATCATTATTACCAGTTTGTTTTACAATATCATTCAAGGCAGCTTGACTCTCTCTAGACTTCGACACGCCATGATAATTCTTGCCCCACGTGAAGCAAGATCAATCGCAGTCGATTTACCAATTCCTGCGTTTGCTCCTGTTATAATAACAGTTTTTCCTTTCATTGTTGCCTTACTTGTACATACTCCACCAGCAATATATTTCCTCAGCAAAGGAAATGTCAATCCTAATAATGCAACGAAAGCTGCAAGACGAAAAAATAAACCCATCTCTTCACCTTGTGATTCATCAAACAGTTAACAAAGATTTTAAATTCTATGTTTAAAATGTTTTTTCTTGTGGAACACTTGTGAGTATACGTATTATGTCCGTTGAACTTTGATCGAGCTGTTTGTATCACATGTGACTATTACAAAAAACGCGTCAAATCAATCAATTAATTGCAAATTAAACATTAATATATTTTAAAAGAAAAATTAAAACGTTTGTTTTAAGTTTGTATTTTTCGCCCTATTGTTATTTTATAAAAGAGATAAAAGTGGTTTTTCTTGTTTGCAATGGCTTATGAAAACCTCGAAGACGTTTGTATGACAGACTGAACGTACACTTTATACTTCCAACAGTGAAGTAAATGCCAAAAAAATATTTTTATTTATAGTTGAGTAAAGTCTGAGGACTGATTGTTATTGTTGACTGACGTTTCGACAACCTTAGCGGTAGTCATCTTCAGAGTCAAATGACTCATCTTTGACTCTGAAGATGACTACCGCTAAGGTTGTAGAAACGTCAGTCAACAACAACAAAAACAGTCCTTCTCAGGACTATACCAGCCTGGACGATCATCATTTACAAACATGTAACGATACTCCCGGGTTCAAACCATTTACTTTAGTAGAGTAAAGGTTAATGAACTACATGCTCCCTGATTACGCAACAAAATTCAACTTTGCACATTTACATGAATCATTGAATCATTGCCACCACGAATCACAAATCAATTACAAACGACAAAGTGGAAGGTTTCTAGCTGTCAACATTCTATATAAATTACGATGGTTACCTCCAAGTACTGTTGGCACTGGATTTAAAGTTAGGATCGTCAGTTCAAAACAAAGTAATACAGCTGAAAAGATCAACTGCATTTTAGTTTGGCAATTCTTCACCTTGCTATAGTATGCAATGCATAGAAATATACTGCGTTTCTAAGATATGCAAAAAGCATTAGTCACGTAAGCAGAGTATGGATGAGAAAGTCTATTTTGGCTTGTAGACATCTTCATTGAATTTCTCATATTAATGGTTTTGGGTAAATAGTTAGACGACACTTGATGGTGGTATGTTTTTGTCGTCCTACATACGTTAATGTTGTCCTATGTTAATGTTGTCATCCTACGTTTACATCATCCTTGTTCAAGATAGAGTGGATATTTAATTATAGAAGTCAAGAAACCAGCCAATTGTAGCGATATCATGTCACACTTTAATAAACCAACAAGATAACGTTGTAAATTGCTGAGAAGTACAGCTTTTTTTTAAATAAAATTGTTTTATTTTTGTGCAGATAGTTGAACAATTTCTTCACTAATTTCCCACAGTCGTTTGGCTCCATCATCGTCTTCTGCTGTATGAGCTGGTTTTGTCTCTTCACAATCCACAAAATACTTTCCAGTTACATTTGCTACGTCTTCAGACACAGCAAGGTGTATTGTCGTCTGCGCGCCCTCCTCAAGCGTCTTCATTACTACAGGTGAAATAAAATTCAAGAATTTATTAACGTTCTCCGATAATGCGTAGCGACTAAGTTCTGTGAAAATAACGCCAGGATGAAGAGAGTTTGCAGTAACACCGGTTCCCTTTAAACGTTTAGCCAATTCACGAGTAAATAAAATATTAGCAAGTTTGCTTTGTCCATAGGCTTCCCATTCGTTATAGGACTTCTCAAATTGCAAATCATCCAGTTTTATGTGCGATTTGGTATTTGCAATAGAATAATGAGCTCCGGAAGATACGACAACGATACGAGAAGGGCTGAACGACGAAGTAGATCTAGAAGTAAATTTGTCAACAGGAAATGTCCAAAATGATTCACTGCCATTGTTAATTCAAGACCATCTTTGCTCACTTGTCTTTCAGTGGTACTAACTAAGCCTGCATTATTTATCAAAACATCGATTTTGTTCTCACTGCTGTATATTTCTTCAGCAAATTTTCTCACTGACTTGAAGGAAGAGAGATCCAAATGCTTTAATATTATATCATTATTACCAGTTTGTTTTACAATATCATTCAAGGCAGCTTGACTCTCTCTAGACTTCGACACGCCATGATAATTCTTGCCCCACGTGAAGCAAGATTAATCGCAGTCGATTTACCAATTCCTGTATTTGCTCCAGTTATAATAACAGTTTTTCCTTTCATTGTTGCCTTACTTGTACATACTCCACCAGCAATATATTTCCTCAGCAAAGGAAATGTAAATCCTAATAGTGCAACGAAAGCTGCAAGACGAAAAAATATACCCATCTCTTCACCGTGTGATTCAATTATAAACAATGCATATAAAGTTAAGCAGAGACAAAGAATTTTGTAAATAAAATGGTGCTGGGTACTCTTACATTGTGAGCATGCGCATTAAACATTTCCGTTGAACTTTGATCGAGCTGTAGTATAATATTTCAGTCTTGAGAATTGCATTCAAATCAATTTTCTCTAATTATTGTAGACTAAAAATATGGCGTAAAAACAAATATTACATGAAGTCCGAAGGTCTAGTCGCGGAACATTACGGAGCAAAGGTCATCTAAAACTAAAAAGGCAATTGAGACTGGGACAATGTCCTCTAAGTTATATATACCCATACTAGTTACGCTCATGCGCGTAACTAGTATATATATATATATGGGCATGACGCTCAGCGTGTGCCGTGGTTATCAAAACCGAGCAAATTACTTCATTGTTTCAAAAAAAAAACAATGTACGGTGGTACAGTGCGGGTTTTTTTAAAGAGATCATATATCAAGCAGAAAAATTATATGTTTTAAACTCTTCATTTGTGAATGTCATATCTGAAGAGCCGTGAAACCTGCTATCTGTAGAGATATCATGTTACATTCTATTAAGCTAACCAAATAAACTAACATTGTAAATTGATGAGCATTGCAGCTTTTGTTTTGAAATAAGATTGTTTTATTCTTGTGTAGATAGTTGAACAATTTTTTCGCTAAGTTCCCACAGTCGTTTAGCTCCATCATCGTCTTCTGCTGTATGAGCTGGTTTTGTCTCTTCACAATCCACAAAATACTTTCCAGTAACATTTTCTACGTCTTCAGACACAGCAAGGTGTATTGTTGTCTGCGCTCCCTCCTCAAGCGTCTTCATTACTACATGTGAAATAAATTTTACAAATTTATTAAAGTTCTGTGGAAATGCATCGCGACCAATTTCAGTGCTAAAAACACCAGGATGAAGGGAGTTTGCAATAACACCAGTTCCCTTTAAACGTTTAGCCAATTCACGAGTAAATAAAATATTAGCAAGTTTGCTTTGTCCATAGGCTTCCAAGTTTGTATAGGATTTTTCAAATTGCAAATCATCCAATTTTATCAATGATCGTGTAGTAATAAAGGAATAATGATACGATGAAGATACGACAACGATACGAGAAGGAGCTGAACGACGAAGTAGATCTAGAAGTAAATTTGTCAACAGGAAATGTCCAAAATGATTCACTGCCATTGTTAATTCAAGACCATCTTCACTGAGTTTTCTCTCAACTGTACTAACTGTTCCAGCATTATTTATCAAAACATCGATTTTCTCTTCACTGCTGTATATTTCTTCAGCAAATTTTCTCACTGACTTGAAGGAAGAGAGATCCAAATGCTTCAATATTATATCATTATTACCAGTTTGTTTTACAATATCATTCAAGGCAGCTTGACCTCTCTCTAGACTTCGACACGCCATGATAATTCTTGCCCCACGTGAAGCAAGATCAATCGCAGTCGATTTACCAATTCCTGCGTTTGCTCCTGTTATAATAACAGTTTTTCCTTTCATTGTTGCCTTACTTGTACATACTCCACCAGCAATATATTTCCTCAGCAAAGGAAATGTCAATCCTAATAATGCAACGAAAGCTGCAAGACGAAAAAATAAACCCATCTCTTCACCTTGTGATTCATCAAACAGTTAACAAAGATTTTAAATTCTATGTTTAAAATGTTTTTTCTTGTGGAACACTTGTGAGTATACGTATTATGTCCGTTGAACTTTGATCGAGCTGTTTGTATCACATGTGACTATTACAAAAAACGCGTCAAATCAATCAATTAATTGCAAATTAAACATTAATATATTTTAAAAGAAAAATTAAAACGTTTGTTTTAAGTTTGTATTTTTCGCCCTATTGTTATTTTATAAAAGAAATAAAAGTGGTTTTTCTTGTTTGCAATGGCTTATGAAAACCTCGAAGACGTTTGTATGACAGACTGAACGTACACTTTATACTTCCAACAGTGAAGTAAATGCCAAAAAAATATTTTTATTTATAGTTGAGTAAAGTCCTGAGAAGGACTGTTTTTGTTGTTGTTGACTGACGTTTCGACAACCTTAGCGGTAGTCATCTTCAGAGTCAAATGACTCATCTTTGACTCTGAAGATGACTACCGCTAAGGTTGTAGAAACGTCAGTCAACAACAACAAAAACAGTCCTTCTCAGGACTATACCAACCTGGACGATCATCATTTACAAACATGTAACGATACTCCCGGGTTCAAACCATTTACTTTAGTAGAGTAAAGGTTAATGAACAACATCCTCCCTGATTACGCAACAAAATTCAACTTTGCACATTTACATGAATCTTTGAATTATTGCCACCACGAATCACAAATCAATTACAAACGACAAAGTGGAAGGTTTTTAGCTGTCAACATTCTATATAAATTACGATGGTTAGCTCCAAGTACTGTTGGCACTGGATTTAAAGTTAGGATCGTCAGTTCAAAACAAAGTAATACAGCTGAAAAGATCAACTGCATTTTAGCTTGGCAATTTTTGACCTTGCTATAGTATGCAATGCATAGAAATATACTGCGTTTCTAAGATATGCAAAAATTATTAGTCACGTAAGCAGATTATGGATGAGAAAGTCTATTTTAGCTTGTAGACATCTTCATTGAATTTCTCATATTAATGGTTTTGGGTAAATAGTTAGACGACACTTGATGGTGGTATGTTTTTGTCGTCCTACATACGTTAATGTTGTCCTATGTTAATGTTGTCATCCTACGTTAACATCATCCTTCCTCAAGATTGAGTGGATATTTATTCTTAGAAGTCAAGAAACCAGTCAACTGTAGAGATATCATGTCACACTTACCAGATAACATTGTAAATTGCTAAGAACTACAGCTTTTGCTTTGAAATAAAATTGTTTCATTTTTGTGCAGATAATTGAACAATTTCTTTGCTAGTTTCCCACAGTCGTTTGGCTCCATCGTCATCTTCTGCTGTATGAGCTGGTTTTGTCTTTTCATAATCGACAATATACTTTCCAGAAACATCTATCGATAATGCGCATTTAGTGCAGAGCAAATTTTTTTGTGGCCGCTTGTGTGGTTGGGACACCCCTCCAATAAGGACCTTTTGTAAATTGAAAGTAAATAAAAACATAAGGCTAATGAATCAGGTAAAAATCTTCAAAATCAAAAAGGGAAACAAATAAGAGAAAATAAAAAAAGGAAAATTGATTAGGATTGCTTCAATTACTCGACATCTATTTTTTTCAAGACTCTTTCTTTTATATGACTTCGTATTCTTGACGTTTTTATGCGAATTCAATATATTCTTTAAGTGCCTCATATCATTAAAAGGAAATATTGGCTCTTTATTAACGAAGTAAGAGGTCAAATTATCGCTCGCGTAAAAGATTCTGGTTTCTGTTCGTTTATAGCAAACATTACACATGATGTTAGCCACAGTGATGAGCTATTTTGTTTCGGTCTACTACATTGATGTGCTGACTATTGTTTGATAAAAGAATGAATTGTCACTTGCCAGTATAATTGAGACTGGAGATGGACAAGAAGCGGACATTGTCAAGTGTCTGAAGCATTAGGACATAACGCTAACATGTGTAATTTTTCAAACCCATGACTCTACTACCAGTATCAGGAAGGTGTGACATGTGCACACAGGAATGTATAATGGCACACAGGAAGGTATAATGGTGCACACAGGAAGGTATAACAGGAACGTATAATGGTGCACACAGGAAGGTATAATGGTGCACACAAGAAGATATAATGGTGCAAACAGGAAGGTGAATGGTGCACACAGGAAGGTATGATGGTGCACACAGGAAGGTATGATGGTGCACACAGGAAGGTATAATGGTGCACACAAGAAGATATAGTGGTGCAAACAGGAAGGTGAATGGTGCACACAGGAAGGTATGATGGTGCACACAGGAAGGTATAATGGTGCACACAGGAAGATATGATGGTGCACACAGGAAAGTATAATGGTACACACAAGAAGATATAGTGGTGCAAACAGGAAGGTGAATGGTGCACACAGGAAGGTATGATGGTGCACACAGGAAGGTATAATGGTGCACACAAGAAGATATAGTGGTGCAAACAGGAAGGTGAATGGTGCACACAGGAAGGTATGATGGTGCACACAGGAAGGTATAATGGTGCACACAGGAAGGTATAATGGTGCACACAGGAAGGTATAATGGTGCACACAGGAAGGTATAATGGTGAACTCAGGAAGGTATAATGGTGAACTCAGGAAGGTATAATGGTGCACACAGGAAGGTACAATGGGCACAATAAGAGCTGAATGAAATATTAGAGAGAAAAATTCTTTACACAAAAAGGTACTTAACGTGGAGTTAACATAGTGGCTGAACATGTTTGTTTAGCTTCCCCACTAGTTTGCAAAGTATTTGCTGCTCTGGAGAAAACTTTCGTCCTCTTCACCGCAACCCCAAAAAGAAATAATCATTTAAAAGATCGAAACCTGTGCAAAGAAAGATGGACAGCCCGATGCAAATCAGTGGAGGCAGTTTTGAGAAGTGTAGAGGGAATTTCATTGGCTCTTGATGCTATTGCTGAAGCTGGAGATCCAGATCAAAAGACCAAAGCAGCCAGTCTGATTAACATAAATTGTTGACATTGACTTCATTTGTGGAGTAATATTTCTAAAAAATTTAATATACAAGACGAAATTCTACTTGCTGACTATTTAAAAAAAGAGATGGTCGACGTTGCTTATGCACTTGCACATATTGCAATGGAATCAACATATGATTGCCTTCATGCAGAGAATCCGCAAAGCTGATAAAGAGATAAAAGACCAAGTGCTAGCAGCAACTGAAATAGCGAGAAATATTGGGGCTAATCCAATTTGTGATTTCTCAAGACTGCAAAGAATAGGGAGATCTCCCAAACGCCTTGATAAGCTACAAGAAACAGCTGCAGTAGAGACATCAAACGTATGCAATTTACACCGCTCTGAATTTTCAAATTCATAAATCAAATGTGCTCAACTCTAACGGAGAAACAAATGGTCTTAATAATACGTATAACGCATTTTTAAGGTATTATATCCGAAAACACAGGAACAATCTAAAACTTACAAAAAGTTTTAAATCTTTCCCGTCGGTATTCTCAAAAGAATCCAGTTAAGTATTACACAACGTATTGTTTGTTTTCTTTAAACATGCACTAAAAGAGCACGGATAAAAAGATAAGGAGCGACAGTTACAAGGTATTGAGCCACAACCAATAATATGTACCATTGCTACAACGATGTATTGCTCTTAAGATGGCTAAAAACAGTGGTCTTTTCAAGTTTGCTTTAAAGGTTTATAAATTGTTTCTGATAGCCGCGACAGATGTTGTGAAAAAGGAAAGATCAATTAGTTTAATGAAGACGGTGAAAAGTTATATATGCATGCTTGGAAGCAATGACAAAAATGTAAGTTACTGCTAGTTATATCAAACATCGCTTTTAACAACAATAGGTTAGACAATACTACTGTATTAGTATAAACCCATGTTTTAATCAGCAGACTGAAAGAATCGATTTCATATAAAAACTTGATACAGCACAACATGAATATATTAATATTGACCCCTCCATTTATCGAGAGTTTGCTGATATATTGGATCATATCTTCTTTTGTGGGTTGTTCTATCTGCTGTCATTTTTCAATCAATGAACATCATTATTATTGTGTCGTTTTCCCTTTTTTTTGTTACCTTTAGTACGTGCTAGACTTGTGGAGTTCAGACGTGGATGTTGATTCAAACATTTTGTGATGAAATAATTGTTAATCTCAAAAATTGTTAGATCTGTCTATTTTTAAAAAAATCATTAGTCAGGAACGAAGGAGTCGTACATGTATGCATGCCCTATTGAATTAAATTATAGAAGAAATGCTTTAAGGTCACCCTCATCCTTCGTGACCTCTCCTAAACATTTCTCGCGATCATCCACGTTAAAGACTTACCTGTTGCGCATGCGCAACTTCTCATGTAACTCTTTCGTTCCTGTTCCTGACTGAGGACTTCAAGGTAAGTATCGTTTAAAATTAAAATTTCGAGTTCTGTCCCGCTTGTTGAGATGCGATATCATAAGCGAAAATTGTATGCTATTTGCTCTAGATATAATGAATGCTTTAGTCTGCGTTGTACAATGTTACGAGTCGTAAATGAATTGAAAATTGCTTCAATTTTTTGCAGATAATTGAACGATCTCTTCACTAATTTCCCATAGTCGTTTGGCTCCATCGTCGTCTTCTGCTGTATGAGCTGGTTTTGTTTCTTCACAATCCACAAAATACTTTCCAGTAACATTTGCTACGTCTTCAGACACAGCAAGATGTATTGTCGTCTGTGCGCCCTCCTCAAGCGTCTTAAATAGTACATTTGAAATGAAATTCAAGAATTTATTAACGTTCTCCGATAATGCGTAGCGACCAATTTCTGTGAAAATAATACCAGGATGAAGGGAGTTTGCAGTAACACCGGTTCCCTTTAAACGTTTAGCCAATTCACGAGTAAATAAAATATTAGCAAGTTTGCTTTGTCCATAGGCTTCCCATTTGTTATAGGATTTCTCAAATTGCAAATCATCCAGTTTTATGTGCGATTTGGTATATGCAATAGAATAATGAGCTATTGAAGATACGACAACGATACGAGAAGGAGCTGAACGACGAAGTAGATCTAGAAGTAAATTTGTCAACAGGAAATGTCCAAAATGATTCACTGCCATTGTCAATTCAAGACCATCTTTGCTCACTTGTCTTTCAGTGGTACTAACTAAACCTGCATTATTTATCAAAACATCGATTTTGTCTTCACTGCTGTATATTTTTTGAGCAAATTTTCTCACTGACTTGAAGGAAGAGAGATCCAAATGCTTTAATATTATATCATTATTACCCGTTTGTTTTACAATATCATTCAAGGCAGCTTGACCTCTCTCTAGACTTCGACACGCCATGATAATTCTTGCCCCACGTGAAGCAAGATCAATCGCAGTCGATTTACCAATTCCTGTATTTGCTCCTGTTATAATAACAGTTTTTCCTTTCATTGTTGCCTTACTTGTACATACTCCACCAGCAATATATTTCCTCAACAAAGGAAATGTCAATCCTAATAATGCTACGAACGCTGCAAGACGAAAAAATAAACCCATCTCTTCACCATGTGATTCAATTATAAACAATGCATATAAAGTTAAGCAGAGACAAAGAATTTTGTAAATAAAATGATGCTGGATATTCTTACATTGTGAGCATGCGCATTACACAATTCCGTTGAACTTTGATCGAGCTGTTTGTATAATATTTCAGTCTTGAGAATTGCATTCAAACCAATTTTCTCCACCGCAACACATTTTACTTTTTTGCATGCGGTACAATATCTTCTTAAATTATTTTATATTGTAGTACACAAAAGAATTTATTTCTTCAGTAAACAATAGTATAATTAACAAGTGTAGTGAAGATTTATCACATGCTCCTTGATTACGCAATGAATATTAAATCTTTATACTTCCGCAGTTCTTGCAGTAGCTTACAAAAAATGTACTGATAGTTACAATATTTTTGTTTTTACATAATTTTTGGAAAAATGATACAGCGTATGTTATGGGATGCGTGGTAGTGGCTTAAATTAACTCAATTTACTGCATCTTACATTTACCAATACAGTCAGTATAACTATGGCATAACTATATCTCTGGGGGGAGAGGCTCTAGTCCCCTTCTGGTGGTGCAGTACCTAAGCTCAATGAAAGCTGGGGCCGCGCAAAATCAATAATTGGGGGGGGGGGCAACATTCATACATGCAAGTTCTACTTTAGTAGTTTCCATTTAAAGCAATTGAGATTATGGATTAATTAATACTGAATAAAAACTACGAATATATATGAATATGTCCCTCCCCCCTTCCCAAATTATCGACCTTGCAGAGCCTCTTGAAACGCTTATCAAGTATAGCTTTTAATGAGAGAAGATGATATTCATCTTTGCAAAGTAAGCCTTTCTCAGAGTTTCTGATAATTGTAGAACAATTTTCACAACCGTATATTAATATGCCTATACATTAAGGATTGGATTAAGAATGACCTAAAAGAACCAAAGCCCAGCCCACTTACAAAAAAATGCAATGCACAAGACGAAATTCTACTTGCTGACCATCTCAAAAAAGAGATGGTCGACGTTGCTTATGCACTTGCATGTATTGCAATGGAAACAACATATGATTTTCTTCATGCAGAGAATCCGCAAAGCTGATAAAGAGATAAAAGACCAAGTGCTAGCAGCAACTGAAACAGCGAGAAATATTGGGGCTATCCGATTTCTCATTTCTCAAGACTGCACAGAATAGGGAGACCTCACAAACGTCTTGATGAACTACCAGAAACAGCTGCAGTAGAGACATCAAACGTATGCAATTTACACCGCTCTCAATTTTTCAAATTCACGAACTTTCACGGAGAAAAAAATGGTCTTAATAATACATATAACTCATTTTTTAAAGTACTATATCCGAAAACACCAGAAACAATCTAAAACTTGCAAAAAGTTTTAAATGTTTTCCGTCGGTATTCTTAAAAGAATTCAGTTAAGTTTTACACAGCGTATTGTTTGTTTTCTTTAAATATGCACTAAAAGAGCACGGATAAAAAGATAAGGAGCGACAGTTACAAGGTATTGAGCCACAACCAATAATATGTACCATTGCTACAACGATGTATTGCTCTTAAGATGGCTAAAAAGCATGGTCTTTTCAAGTTTGCTTTAAAGCTTCATAAGTTGTTTCTGATAGCCGCGACCGCTGTTGTGAAAAAGGAAAGATCAATTAGTTTAATGAAGATGGTGAAAAGTTATATATACATCCTTGGAAGCAATGACAAAAATGTAAGTTACTGTTAGTTATATCAAACATCGCTTTTAACAACAATAGGTTAGACAATACTACTGTATTAGTATAAACCCATGTTTTAATCAGCAGACTGAAAGAATCGATTTCATATAAAAAATTGATACAGCAGAACATGAATATATTAATATTGACCCCTCCATTTATCGAGAGTTTGCTGATATATTGGATCATATCTTCTTTTGTGGGTTGTTCTATCTGCTGTCATTTTTCAATCAATGAACATCATTATTATTGTGTCGTTTTCCCTTTTTTTTGTTACCTTTAGTATGTGCTGGAGTTGTGGAGCTCGGACGTGCATGTTGATTCAAACATTTTGTGATGAAATAATTGTTAATCTCAAAAATTGTTAGATCTATCTATTTTTAAAAAAATCATTAGTCAGGAACGAAGGAGTCGTACATGTATGCATGCCCTGTTGAATTAAATTATAGAAGAAATGCTTTAAGGTCACCCTCATCCTTCGTGACCTCTCCTAAACATTTCTAGCGATCAACCACGTTGAAGACTTACCTGTTGCGCATGCGCAACTTCTCATGTAACTCTTTCGTTCCTGTTCCTGACTGAAGACTTCAAGGTAAGTATCGTTTAAAATTAAAATTTCGAGTTCTGCTCGGCTTGTTGAGATGCGATATCATAAGCGAAAATTGTATGCTATTTGCTCTAGATATAGCGAATGCTTTAGTCTGCGTTATACAATGTTACGAGTCGTATATGAAATGAAAATTGCGTCAATTTTTTGCAGATAATTGAACGATGTCTTCACTAAGTTCCCATAGTCGTTTGTACGGTGGCTCACAAGGGCCACCACACAAAATAAAAATATTAATACACACACAAAATAAAAATACACACGCAAAATAAAAATACACACACAAAATATGATTGCGGGCGCTTGCAGTGTCGGCTTACTCGGAATTGCTCGTAATTGATCGCATTTGTTTTCAAAGTTCTAATGGTTCCAACTTCCTGAGTACATAACAAAATTCACTGATTTCACTGTGATCAATTATTTCAAAGTTGCTTACGATATTGCTCCCCGTATTCTGGTTAAAATTAAGGTTAATGTGTTGTCCTTTGAAAGGACATTATTGCTCTAGCCTGTCCTGTATTTGTTATAAACAGCTTTGGGGTACTTGAAGTTGAAGTTAACGGACTTGCAGAGCTCGAAGGGCAACTGCTTGAAGAGACGCTACTCGTCGACGCTTCAGAACATTTTGGCAGTTAATCTTCCCAAACGCACACCGCATTTGTGACGAAGCTTCGTCAAGTGATTGTGCACCACAGTTGGCACAAAACATAATTATGCCAGGATTATGCAAGAGCTTGCTTTCGATTCCTTTCCAAATGTAATTTCAAATGTTTCGCAGTTGAAACAGTTAAATACGACGACAAGTCGACCACATGTTAAAATCACAATTAGTGAATTACACATATCTGATTACAAACTGATAATATGATAGTCAGACCATCCGACACTGCAAGCGCTATTGCGTCTTGTGAGCCACCGTACGTTTGGCTCCATCGTCATCTTCGGCAGTATGACCTGGTTTTGTCTCTTCACAATCCACAAAATACTTTCCAGTTACATTTGCTACGTCTTCAGACACAGCAAGGTGTATTGTCGTCTGTGCGCCCTCCTCAAGCGTCTTAAATAGTACATGTGAAATAAAACTCACGAATTTATTAACGTTCTCCGATAATGCGTAGCGACCAAGTTCTGTGAAAATAACACCAGGATGAAGGGAGTTTGCAGTAACACCGGTTCCCTTTAAACGTTTAGCCAATTCACGAGTAAATAAAATATTAGCAAGTTTGCTTTGTCCATAGGCTTCCCATTTGTTATAGGATTTCTCAAATTGCAAATCATCCAGTTTTATGTGCGATTTGGTATTTGTTATAGAATAATGAACTCCTGAAGATACGACAACGATACGAGAAGGAGCTGAACGACGAAGTAGATCTAGAAGTAAATTTGTCAACAGGAAATGTCCAAAATGATTCACTGCCATTGTTAATTCAAGACCATCTTTGCTCACTTGTCTTTCAGTGGTACTAGTTAAACCTGCATTATTTATCAAAACATCGATTTTGTCTTCACTGCTGTATATTTCTTCAGCAAATTTTCTCACTGACTTGAAGGAAGAGAGATCCAAATGCTTCAATATTATATCATTATTACCCGTTTGTTTTACAATATCATTCAAGGCAGCTTGACCTCTCTCTAGACTTCGACACGCCATGATAATTCTTGCCCCACGTGAAGCAAGATCAATCGCAGTCGATTTACCAATTCCTGTGTTTGCTCCTGTTATAATAACAGTTTTTCCTTTCATTGTTGCCTTACTTGTACATACTCCACCAGCAATATATTTCCTCAGCAAAGGAAATGTCAATCCTAATAGTGCAACGAAAGCTGCAAGACGAAAAAATAAACCCATCTCTTCACCGTGTGATTCAATTATAAACAATGCATATAAAGTTAAGCAGAGACAAAGAATTTTGTAAATAAAATGGTGCTGGGTACTCTTACATTGTGAGCATGCGCATTAAACATTTCCGTTGAACTTTGATCGAGCTGTTGTATAATATTTCAGTCTTGAGAATTGCATTCAAATCAATTTTCTCCAATTATTGTAGACTAAAAATATGGCGTAAAAACAAATATTACATGAAGTCCGAAGGTCTAGTCGCGGAACATTACGGAGCAAAGGTCATCTAAAACTAAAAAGACAATTGAGACTGGGACAATGTCCTCTAAGTTATATATACCCATACTAGTTACTCACAAGGATGACGCTCAGCGTGTGCCGTGGTTATCCAAACGAGCAAATTACTTCATTGTTTGAAAAAAAAACAATGTGCGGTGGTACAGTGCGGGTTTTTTTAAAGAGATCATATATCAGGCGGAAAAATTATATGTTTTAAACTCTTCATTTGTGAATGTCATATCTGAGAAGCAGTGAAACCTGCTATCTGTAGAGATGTCATGTTACATTCTATTTAGCTAACCAAATAAACTAACATTGTAAATTGATGAGCACAACAGCTTTTGTTTTGAAATAAGATTGTTTTATTTTTGTGTAGATAATTGAACAATTTTTTCGCTAAGTTCCCACAGTCGTTTAGCTCCATCATCGTCTTCTGCTGTATGAGCTGGTTTTGTCTCTTCACAATCCACAAAATACTTTCCAGTTACATTTGCTACGTCTTCAGACACAGCAAGGTGTATTGTCGTCTGCGCGCCCTCCTCAAGCGTCTTAAATAGTACATGTGAAATAAAACTCATGAATTTATTAACGTTCTCCGATAATGCGTAGCGACCAAGTTCTGTGAAAATAACACCAGGATGAAGGGAGTTTGCAGTAACACCGGTTCCCTTTAAACGTTTAGCCAATTCACGAGTAAATAAAATATTAGCAAGTTTGCTTTGTCCATAGGCTTCCCATTTGTTATAGGATTTCTCAAATTGCAAATCATCCAGTTTTATATGCGATTTGGTATTTGTTATAGAATAATGTACTCCTGAAGATACGACAACGATACGAGAAGGAGCTGAACGACGAAGTAGATCTAGAAGTAAATTTGTCAACAGGAAATGTCCAAAATGATTCACTGCCATTGTCAATTCAAGACCATCTTTGCTCACTTGTCTTTCAGTGGTACTAGTTAAACCTGCATTATTTATCAAAACATCGATTTTGTCTTCACTGCTGTATATTTCTTCAGCAAATTTTCTCACTGACTTGAAGGAAGAGAGATCCAAATGCTTCAATATTATATCATTATTACCAGTTTGTTTTACAATATCATTCAAGGCAGCTTGACCTCTCTCTAGACTTCGACACGCCATGATAATTCTTGCCCCACGTGAAGCAAGATCAATCGCAGTCGATTTACCAATTCCTGTGTTTGCTCCTGTTATAATAACAGTTTTTCCTTTCATTGTTGCCTTACTTGTACATACTCCACCAGCAATATATTTCCTCAACAAAGGAAATGTCAATCCTAATAATGCTACGAACGCGGCAAGACGAAAAAATAAACCCATCTCTTCACCATGTGCTACTATTGTAATCAATGCAAATAAAGTTAAGCAGAGACAAAGAATTTTGTATATAAAATGGTGCCGGGTATTCTTACATTTTGAACATGCGCATTAAGCATTTCCGTTGAACTTTGATCGAGCTGTTTGTATAATATTTCAGTGGGCAACATTCATACATGCAAGTTCTACTTTAGTAGTTTCCATTTAAAGCAATCGAGATTATGGATTAATTAACACGGGTTAAAAACTAAGAATATATATGAATATGCCCCCCCTCCCAAATTATCGATCTTGCAGAGCCTCTTAAAAAGCTTATGAGTATAACTTTTAAAGACAGAAGATGATATTATGCTTTGCAAAGTAAGCCTTTCTCAGAGTTTCTGATACTTGTAGAACAATGCTCACAACCGTATATTAATTTGCCTAAATATTCGGGATTGGATTAAGAATGAGCTTAAATAAAGAACCAAGGCCTCGGGTCACTTACCAAAAGGAGCTAAAAGGGGCCACCCACAAGTTAAGTGCAATTGGTCAATTCATAATACAAGTGACGTCCACAGACCTAATGCCAATAATAGAATGGTGAATTGTTGAAAAACGAATGGTTCGAGACCTTAATAATATTGGAGTGTAGTGAGATATGAATTAATCCCAAGTGTAATATATGACCTAGCCTTTTCACTATTGCAAAGGATGCTCAACAATGTGGTAAAAGACACTGGGTTCAACAACCAAGGCGAGAGGGGACAGGGAAGAGGTGTCATAGGACAGCCATCAAAATGCAGCTCTGCACCTTCACTATTTATAAAATCACATTGATAAATTTTGGTTTAGTGACTGCCTCTGCCAATTGCATGCAAAGGTTGTTTTTTTTGGTTTCCAATAACGTATGATGGCCTTAAAATTAGATTCACCTCTAAATGTTAAATTTTACAATACATCAAGTATCACAGTTGAAATTGAAGTAAAAAAGGCAAGAAAACATAAGATTGGCCTTGGCTTTCCTGAAAGGTTGCTCCAGCCCTGTTTACCTTCAGAATTTAGATAAATCAAATATTATAATGAAATAATTCCATGTTATCAAGTATGATTAGAAACCTCCATAATTTTCATGGCTCTATTTTTCAGATTGACGTATTATAAAGAGACATTATTGATGTTAGACGATCGTCTTTTGTCATTTCTTTGGCTTTTTCATTTAAAGCTCTAAGACTCCTCTCACGAATCCTGATATTCTTTCAACGTTTGCTTGGATTTCTCTTGTTTGGATTCCAATTTGTTTATTATGATTATCTATAGTAGATGATCTAATGTAGAATCTACGTATAGGACATTTTAAGACGGTTGCAAACTGATAATTGAGGAACTTTAGTCTTATATTCATCCGTTATTTATTCCGTAATCACAATTGATTTCAACAAAACCTAACCTAAGAAAGTAAAAAAAGCAAACATGCATAAAACCAAGTTATTATTCTTCCATTGTGCCGGTCAAGTACTGATTACGATGCGGGAATGACTCCAAATTGTTAATTACTAATGCTTCCAGTTATGTCTTTTTGCATTCATTGCAAAGCAATTTTTTCTTCAATAGAGAAAAAAGTTATTAATATATTTATACTTGTACGTCTTGCGGAGGAATCCAGTTTGCTAGTTTATTTCTAGTTTATTACTGCATAACTAGAATATTTTTTGTTCTTATAACGCCGAATCAGTATTCTTTCCTATTTTTTTTCTATTTGTGAGTCATTCTGTCCTCTATGAAGAAAAACCGATTTGAAATAACTAATATGAAACAGTTTCATTAAGTTTCTTGCTTTATCACATTGCGCACATGAATCACCCACAACTTTTGATAACTTCCAAAGCCTGAGATGGGCATCCATGAATCTGTAAGTTTCGACTTGTTTACACACACTGTAGAAATGTGGTATGTTCTCGCGTTATTCTGCACCCTCCCCTCCCCCTGACTTCCTTACAGTCTACGCGGTCACTGCATGATAAATACCATTTTTGTACGTCGATCAACTTCGGTTATTAAAATTTATTAAAAAACAAAGCTGGACGAACGAAAATTCCCTTCTATATCAGTTTAATTATGCAGTGCATAATTTATTTGTCTCGAGACAATTGTATTCAAATAGACTGAGAAAACACTAAACAGAACGACATTAATTTATGGTCGCATTTACTTATAGATCTTAAGAGTAACACTTCGCTCCTTCTACACATCACAATATGATGTCAACTGTGATTAAAAACGAAGAGGTCAAAAATTGCAAGGCAATTATAAGTTTTGAATTAGATAACAAAACTATAGAACCAAGTCAAATACTTTATTATATGTTAGATGGTAATAATTATCTGGCTAAAAAGTTTCTGCATAAGACTTTGAATTGAATTGATACCAGCCAAAATGTTTTTATCTCTTATGGCCTCTCATAAGCGGAACGGATATCTCCCGTAAACGAACAGCAGGTCGTGTCTCGAAGGGGGTCTGCTCACGGAAGATTCGACTGTATCCAGACATGCGTGCTGTTATCGCTCAAAAAAATTATTTCTTAAGCCCTTGGCAACCATTTTATTCATAATGTTATTAGTGGTACTGGGAATATTCGTGTTTCTGACTGAAAACAATGTTTGCTTGCGGAGTTTGACCAGGGCAGTGAGTTCAGTGAGATAATTTTAAGGAGCTGCTCCAGTTGCATAAAGCTCAGTGTAATGTGCCTGTGGGCAATATGCAAATTAGCAGCGGTTTGAAAATTCAACTCCCAATTATCCATTAACGACTACGGAAATTCCTTAATATTAGCCATTGTGGCTCTTTCATATCCCCCCGTCACTGTGACATAAGAGAATTAAAACAACTGAGGAACATAGTCATTTGTATTGTTGAAAGATCGCGATTTGTGTGTTTTCTTTGCTTTTTAAAACACTCTTTCTTCGATCTTTTTTATATTTATCGTGGAACAAGATATATCTTTGGTAAGGTGCCTTTTCTATCTCATTGAAAAATGCTTATCAGTTATCAATATTTAAGGCAACACAATTGAATGCGTTGTCAGCAGTGGGAGAAATTTCGAGTGCCAAAAATTTTCATTTTTGTACCTTTATCGTCGTAGAAAACGCTCTTCGGGGTTATCTTTCACAAGAATGAAAACGGGAAAGTTTGACGCTAGTTGTCGCAGCGTAGAAAGTAAGTACTTTGCTCCATTGATAAATGCACAATTTGACGAATTCATATTTGAGACGAATTGATGTATTTTGTCGGACTGGGAAGTGGGAAGTCGAAATTTTCATGAAGAAATGGGGATTTAAATGTGCTCTTCCCATATCGTTCTTTCAATACACGATTGCTTTGTTGAATGTCGGACGTTTTTGAAAAAGGTGACTTGGGTATTTTGCGTAAGGAAATTAATATAAATGAATATATAGCAGACCTCTGTTTTCGTACAACTTGTGTTATAGCATTCTGGTTCGAAATTTTTTTGTAAATGTACCTGTGTTCTGTTGATTGCACTATTTTATTCGTGTTTTATGATTATTTTGATCAAATTCTTTCAATATACAGTTGATATTATATAATTTTTAAGCAGAACTGGTTTAATATTTTTGGATGTACTCCAAACCACATGTCAAAACATTATTCTCGTATTCATTATTTCTTGACTCTCATTTTCAGTGCACGATACATACATCATATAAATTTCAAAGATACTTGTTTACAAATATCAGTTTTGTACGCGATTTAGACTTGCTGTTATTTTAAAATGTTGATAAAATATGATACAAAGTCGACCTATTGTGCCTTGTATTCTTTATCTACTTCAACATCTGTATGTTTATGACGCATGTTTTACACTGATGCTTGTTGACAAAATCAAACTTATCACATTACATAGCCATGTATATGTTAGTCAAAAGTTTATCATTGTCAAAGATTGAAAGAACGTGTTCCCAAATTAATGTCACTCGAATTTTGTCGAATTATGATTCAACCAGTCAGAAATAGTTATGATTTTAAGTGACAAAACAAAAATACAATTGATATCCTGAAGTAGAGATCAGTGATCTTGTAACAAATGTCGTGATATTTTGACTTTTTCCTCATTAATTCCCACCTATTTGGATTATATGCACTTGATACATCAGCAATGCTATTGCCCATGTAATGCCTACACCAGTTTTCTGCCTTTGTTTTGCTATGATTCCCATCATCATTTGTTGGTGTTTCTTCAATTTTAATTCTAGGAAAAAAATCTATTCAGCAATAGCTTTATCCTGTACATATGGGGAGGTGGTTAGGCGGTTACATAGATCTCCAAGGATCAGCTAAAGGATATTCAAGGGTCCAAAAAAGGGATATATATTTATATATATATGTTACATTATATGCATAAGCAGTTTGAAATCGCAAGTGTCTTGTTATTTGCTTAGAGCAAAAACTGAAATTATTTCATATGCACATAGTTATAATGTACGCCTTGTGCTTGACATAGCTACATGTAGGTTTTGACTCTTGTACTTTTTCTCCTCTATGTAAACTTGTAGTCTTGCTGTATGTAAACTGGTAGTCTTGCTGTATGTAAACTTGTAGTGTTGCTGTATGTAAACTTGTAGTCTTGCTGTATGTAAACTTGTAGTCTTGCTGTATGTAAACTTGTAGTCTTGCTGTATGTAAACTTGTAGTCTTGCTGTATGTAAACTTGTAGTCTTGCTATATGTAAACTTGTAGTCTTGCTGTATGTAAACATGTAGTCTTGCTGTATGTAAACTTGTAGTCTTGCTGTATGTAAACTTGTAGTCTTGCTGTATGTAAACTTGTAGTCTTGCTGTATGTAAACTTGTAGTCTTGCTGTATGTAAACTGGTAGTCTTGCTGTATGTAAACTTGTAGTGTTGCTGTATGTAAACTTGTAGTCTTGCTGTATGTAAACTTGTAGTCTTGCTGTATGTAAACTTGTAGTCTTGCTGTATGTAAACTTGTAGTCTTGCTGTATGTAAACTTGTAGTCTTGCTATATGTAAACTTGTAGTCTTGCTGTATGTAAACTTGTAGTCTTGCTGTATGTAAACTTGTAGTGTTGCTGTATGTAAACTTGTAGTCTTGCTGTATGTAAACTTGTAGTCTTGCTGTATGTAAATTTGTAGTCTTGCTGTATGTAAACTTGTAGTCTTGCTGTATGTAAACTTGTAGTCTTGCTGTATGTAAATTTGTAGTCTTGCTGTATGTAAACTTGTAGTGTTGCTATATGTAAACTTGTAGTCTTGCTATATGTAAACTTGTAGTCTTGCTGTATGTAAACTTGTAGTCTTGCTGTATGTAAACTTGTAGTCTTGCTGTATGTAAACTTGTAGTCTTGCTGTATGTAAACTTGTAGTCTTGCTGTATGTAAACTTGTAGTCTTGCTGCATGTAAACTTGTAGTCTTGCTGTATGTAAACTTGTAGTCTTGCTGTATGTAAACTTGTAGTCTTGCTGTATGTAAACTTGTAGTCTTGCTGTATGTAAACTTGTAGTCCTACTATATGTAAACTTGTAGTCTTGCTATATGTAAACTTGTAGTCTTGCTGTATGTAAACTTGTAGTGTTGCTATTTGTAAACTTGTAGTCTTGCTATATGTAAACTTGTAGTCTTGCTGTATGTAAACTTGTAGTCTTGCTGTATGTAAACTTGTAGTCTTGCTGTATGTAAACTTGTAGTCTTGCTATATGTAAACTTGTAGTATTGCTATATGTAAACTTGTAGTCTTGCCATATGTAAACTTGTATTCTTGCTATATGTAAACTTGTAGTCTTGCTGTATGTAAACATGTAGTCTTGCTGTATGTAAACTTGTAGACTTGCTGTATGTAAACTTGTAGTCTTGCTGTATGTAAACATGTAGTCTTTCTGTATAAACATGTACTTTTGCTATATGTAAACTAAGACTTTTTCTCTATTTAAACATTTACTTTTGCTTTATGTAAATCTTTTGCTGTATGTACGTAATTGTGCACTCTTGCTGTTTGTAAGTCTACCCAAGAATATAATTTAAGCTTGCTATAAGTACATGTGTGCACGAGATTGCGAAAAATTGCATAAAATTATATACTATACGTTGTAAGAAATTTTAAAGATATCTATTTGCATTTATCGTTTCAGTGAACTCATGCAACTCACAGTCGCCTATTGTTTTGGATACACCAGAAAGAGATGCAACCAACAACACTTCAGTGATTGAAATAACAGATGGTTTTGAATGGAATCTTAATCGAAGACGCCGTCATGATACTGTGGATAATGTAATACTATCTGGTAGTCCAAAAAGAGCTCGTGTTGATGTTCCATTTATTGATTTAACTGTTGACAATGATGATGATTCTACTACCAACAATAATAACTCAGATAGGTTTGTAATGTTCCCTCATTTTATTGATTTAACTGTTGACAATGATGATGATTCTACTACCATCAATAATAACTCAGATAGGTTTATAATGCTCCCTCATTTTATTGATTTAACTGTTGACAATGATGATGATTCTACTACCATCAATAATAACTCAGATAGGTTTGTAATGTTCCCTCATTTTATTGATTTAACTGTTGACAATGATGATGATTCTACTACCATCAATAATAACTCAGATAGGTTTGTAATGCTCCCTCATTTTATTGATTTAACTGTTGACAATGATGATGATTCTACTACCATCAATAATAACTCAGATAGGTTTGTAATGCTCCCTCATTTTATTGATTTAACTGTTGACAATGATGACGATTCTACTACCATCAATAATAACTCAGATTGGTTTATAATGCTGCCTCATTTTATTGATTTAACTGTTGACAATGATGATGATTCTACTGCCAACAATAAAACTCAGATAGGTTTGTAATGTTCCCTCATTTTATTGATTTAACTGTTGACAATGATGATGATTCTACTGCCAACAATACAACTCAGATAGGTTTGTAATGTTCCCTCATTTTATTGATTTAACTGTTGGCAATGATGATTATTCTACTGCCAACAATAATAACTCAGATAGGTTTGTAATGTTCCCTCATTTTATTGATTTAACTGTTGACAATGATGATGATTCTACTACCATCAATAATAACTCAGATAGGTTTGTAATGCTCCCTCATTTTATTGATTTAACTGTTGACGATGATGATGATTCTACTACCATCAATAATAATTCAGATAGGTTTGTAATGCTCCCTCATTTTATTGATTTAACTGTTGACAATGATGACGGTTCTACTACCATCAATAATAACTCAGATTGGTTTATAATGCTGCCTCATTTTATTGATTTAACTGTTGACAATGATGATGATTCTACTACCATCAATAATAACTCAGATAGGTTTGTAATGCTCCCTCATTTTATTGATTTAACTGTTGACAATGATGATGATTCTACTACCATCAATAATAATTCAGATAGGTTTGTAATGCTCCCTCATTTTATTGATTTAACTGTTGACAATGATGATGATTCTACTACCAACAATAATAACTCAGATAGGTTTGTAATGCTCCCTCATTTTATTGATTTAACTGTTGACAATGATGATGATTCTACAACCAACAATAATAACTCAGATAGGTTTGTAATGCTCCCTCATTTTATTGATTTAACTGTTGACAATGATGATGATTCTACTACCATCAATAATAATTCAGATAGGTTTGTAATGCTCCTCATTTTATTGATTTAACTGTTGACAATGATGACGATTCTACTACCATCAATAATAACTCAGATTGGTTTATAATGCTGCCTCATTTTATTGATTTAACTGTTGACAATGATGATGATTCTACTGCCAACAATAAAACTCAGATAGGTTTGTAATGTTCCCTCATTTTATTGATTTAACTGTTGACAATGATGATGATTCTACTGCCAACAATACAACTCAGATAGGTTTGTAATGTTCCCTCATTTTATTGATTTAACTGTTGGCAATGATGATTATTCTACTGCCAACAATAATAACTCAGATAGGTTTGTAATGTTCCCTCATTTTATTGATTTAACTGTTGACAATGATGATGATTCTACTACCATCAATAATAACTCAGATAGGTTTGTAATGCTCCCTCATTTTATTGATTTAACTGTTGACGATGATGATGATTCTACTACCATCAATAATAATTCAGATAGGTTTGTAATGCTCCCTCATTTTATTGATTTAACTGTTGACAATGATGACGGTTCTACTACCATCAATAATAACTCAGATTGGTTTATAATGCTGCCTCATTTTATTGATTTAACTGTTGACAATGATGATGATTCTACTACCATCAATAATAACTCAGATAGGTTTGTAATGCTCCCTCATTTTATTGATTTAACTGTTGACAATGATGATGATTCTACTACCATCAATAATAATTCAGATAGGTTTGTAATGCTCCCTCATTTTATTGATTTAACTGTTGACAATGATGATGATTCTACTACCAACAATAATAACTCAGATAGGTTTGTAATGCTCCCTCATTTTATTGATTTAACTGTTGACAATGATGATGATTCTACAACCAACAATAATAACTCAGATAGGTTTGTAATGTTCCCTCATTTTATTGATTTAACTGTTGACAATGATGATGATTCTACTGCCAACAATAATAACTCAGATAGGTTTGTAATGCTCCCTCATTTTATTGATTTAACTGTTGACAATGATGATGATTCTACAACCAACAATAATAACTCAGATAGGTTTGTAATGTTCCCTCATTTTATTAATTTAACTGTTGACATTGATGATGATTCTACTGCCAACAATAATGACTCAGATAGGTTTGTAATGCTCCCTCATTTTATTGATTTAACTGTTGACAATGATAATGATTCTACTACCATCAATAATAACTCAGATAGGTTTGTAATGTTCCCTCATTTTATTGATTTAACTGTTGACAATGATGATGATTCCACTACCAACAATAATAACTCAGAGTTAATTCCTTATGTACCAGATTCTAATACCTTAAGTACCATTAAATTCCTTACTACGAGAAATATTGGAGTTGGCGGGAAGCAGTTGCCCCCCCCATTCCAAATCACCCCCCCCCCATATGCTACATACGTGTATATTCTTTCAGGGGGAAAGGTGAATACTCACATGATTTTTCCCCCCGCGTTGCAAAATGTGCAATGTCACATTTTGCAAGCAGGACAAGATTTCATACCTTTTTTTGACATTTTTTTACTTTACTAAAAATGTGATTCTAATTAAAGATATTTGTATTTACTTGCAGTTTGTATATCGCTCTGGAAAGTCCGTACTATACTGAAATGATGCGCAGTCACTACTTACCCGAGCAAAGACTGCGCATCAGACGAACATTACGTTCACGTACGGGATCGCATCACTCCAGACAACAAATTGAAGACAGTGACCACCAATCCGGAAGACATCAAGCGTCATCATCAAACATCAATCACCGTCAAGCATTTGACTCGACGATACTTGTTGATGACGTAAGTTTTATTATGAAATAATCAGTTACGTAGTTCTGTTACGTAGCAGCATTTGACTCGACGATACTTGTTGATGACGTGAGTTTTATTATGAAATAATCAGTTACGTAGTTCTGTTACGTAGCAGCATTCGACTCGACGATACTTGTTGATGACGTAAGTTTTATTATGAAATAATCAGTTACGTAGTTCTGTTACGTAGCTTGTTTTGGCCATTCCAATTTCCATATGTTAAAACCATTGAACTGAAATACATGGAACGCTACCTGTTGTATAAAACCCTAATAATTTTTGAAGCGGTGATTTTACCCCTGACACGCGTGTGTAGTCAATCAATTATTACTCCGCGAGAGAATCTCGAAATACTACACACGCGTGTCTGGGGTAAAATCTCGCGTGTCTGTGTGTAAGATTTGGCTTCAATTATTTGCTCCAGGTAGCATGTGATGTATTTTAGTTCTATGATTAAAATGCAAAAATATTGATGACGACATGACGTAGTGGAATTTCGAGAAAAATTTATTAGAAAAGGATTATAGGCTAGGGCAAAGAGTTTTGGGTCAGGATTTAGTTTAGGATTACAGGCTAGGGCAAAGAGTTTTTGGCCAAGATTGAGCTTAGGATTGAAGACTAGGGAAAAGAGTTTTGGGCTCGGATTAAGTATAAATATTCTTACTAGCAGTGGAATAATTTGATCAATTTCAAAAGATATATTTCGTTTCTTTAGGATGATAATGTTAGTCCGCATGATAACGTAACTCGTCCTAGCTGCAGTGTTGTGAATAATCCCTGTTCAATTTCATCAAGTTTAACTTCATCTTTAAATCACAACGATAGACATCAAATAGCATCAAATAATGGTTATCCCTCACAGGTTTGTACCGTTAATCGTGTTGTGGATGTATTTAAATATCTACATTTGTCGCAATTTAAGGTGTTTGCCATATATTTTTCGTATTATGATGCCTGCTTTCTTTCCATTGACAAAGGTTTGCCACAAGATGCAATATTTGTTTGATTTTAGTTATTCAGTTCACTTCTGTTAACACGTTCAATTTTAACCCGTTATAATTTTTTCTATGAAATGTTGCATGGTGCTTTGTGTTTACAAGACTGTAACCTGCTGTATGTTGAGAAAATTGTTAAAAAAATGATGTGTTATCAACGTGATTGGCTACTGTATCTGAAATGTCGAGGAAAATTTACAACAACTTTTAAGTTTAAAATAAGCAATTTATCTTGTCTTTGATGTTTATAACATGGTTCTTTTCGGGTATTCATAAATCATGTCATCAAATGTCGGTGAACTGCCCTGTTGTTTTACTGATGATACCATTATAATACATGGACTAATTACCTGCAGTATATTAATTTGACGTAATTTCATAATAAAGACTTCCATTTTTAAATGAAACAAGTGGAGTGCACTTTTGATCAATTATGTATTATGTATGTATTGTTTTAGGATGTCAGTCAAATTGAGTATGACAGACGTGGAAATCGGAGTATATTTGCCACAACCTGTCGGACGATACTACGAAATAATCGTCGTTTACGTGAATCAGATTGTCTCGAACGAATACCGTCTTTTTCTAGTTCCTCAGCCGATTATCTCCCTAGAACTATACATGTAAGTATAATCGTGGATAGGGAAACATACATTCATGGATAGAAAAACATACATTTATGGATAGAAAAACATGCATTCATGGATAGAAAAACATACATTTATGGATAGAAAAACATGCATTTATGGAGAGAAAAACATACATTTATGGATAGAAAAACATACATTTATGGATAGAAAAACATACATTCATGGATAGAAAAACATACATTTATGGGTAGAAAAACATGCATTCATGGTTAGGAAAACGTCATACATTAAAAATAGTCTAATTTTCTAACTTTGAGCCCGAAACAGTTAAAAAAATTACTCTTTTGAATTATGAAGTACATTGCAAAAGTGTTCAAAATCGACTTAGCTATCCAAATTACTCGAATACGAAAATATGATGTAGGTGCGTATCTTAAATGTTCATTGGTATGGTGACGTAGACATAAACATGCGGCAAAATAAAGAAAGTAAGCTGGTTTACCAAACGTAGGTGACGTAAAGCTCGGCATCCAGCAACACGAAAATGGAAAGGCTTTGAATGATTTTTGCAAGATCTATCATACATTGCCGACGAATCTTAATTCATTAAAATATCTGTTGCACATTACTAGCGTGTGTACACTTAACATAAAAACATGCATACGTATTAAAGTAAATGGTTTTAATCCGGGAGTATCGTTACATGTTTGTAAATGTAGATCGTCCAGGTTGGTATAGTCCTGAGAAGGACTGTTTTTGTTGTTGTTGACTGACTGTTTTGTTGTTTGTTGTTGTTGACTGACGTTTCGACAACCTTAGCGGTAGTCATCTTCAGAGTCAAAATGTATTTTGTCAGTTATTTTGACTCTGAAGATGACTACCGCTAAGGCTGTCGAAACGTCAGTCAACAACAACATAAACAATCCTTCTCAGGACTATACCAACCTGGACGATCTACATCTACAAACATACATACCTACGTAACCTTTATAATCTTTGTAGGAACTATAGATCTATAGACCAAAGACCATGACCAGCCGACAATTTAAAGAAGTATAATATAAAACAAATTCCGAAGAAACAAGTCATCTTGAGATTGCAAAATATGAATCAAAACAAGACGAGAAGTAAACTGTAAATTTTCGACTTTATTTCAAAGTCATTCTGTCTGAGGATGACTTTGAAATAAAGTCGAAAATTTTATTTATAGATCTCTAGATATATCTATTGCCTGTGTAATAGTAAAATGCCAATGATTATCAACCGCTACTTTTTGTTTGAGTCAATCTCACAATACATCAAAGTGTTTTTGTTCATATTTAGACTCGTGGAAGTCACGAGAACAATGCGAGCACACCTCGTGACAGCCTTCCCCGGTCGGACTCCAATAGAGTTGAAAATAACTCCGTGCGTCTAGTAAGTTGTTTATAATTTTGATGAGATATCCATGAAATAATTCAAGATATTATCATTTCTTATAAATCATTCCATTGTTATGGTTGTTTTGTTGAGCATTTGTTATTGCTATAACACATTGCACTACAACACATTGTAGTTATTGCATATGGACATTTACGTCAGTCTGTGTTCTACAATACTATGTACTATAATACACTGTACCACAACACATTGTACTTACCACATATAGACATTTAAGTCAGCCTGTGTACTACAAAACTATGTACTATAATACACTGTACTACAACACATTGTACTTACCACATATAGACATTTAAGTCAACCTGTGTACTACAATACTATGTACTATAATACACTGTACCACAACACATTGTACTTACCACATATAGACATTTAAGTCAGCCTGTGTACTACAATACTATGTACTATAATACACTGTACTACAACACATTGTACTTACCACATATAGACATTTAAGTCAGCCTGTGTACTACAAAACTATGTACTATAATACACTGTACTACAACACATTGTACCACATATAGACATTTAAGTCAGCCTGTGTACTACAATACTATGTACTATAATACACTGTACTACAACACATTGTACTTACCACATATAGACATTTAAGTCAGCCTGTGTACTACAATACTATGTACTATAATACACTGTACTACAACACATTGTACTTACCACATATAGACATTTAAGTCAACCTGTGTACTACAATACTATGTACTATAATACACTGTACCACAACACATTGTACTTACCACATATAGACATTTAAGTCAGCCTGTGTACTACAATACTATGTACTATAATACACTGTACTACAACACATTGTACTTACCACATATAGACATTTAAGTCAGTCTGTGTACTACAAAACTATGTACTATAATACACTGTACCACAACACATTGTACTTACCACATATAGACATTTAAGTCAACCTGTGTACTACAATACTATGTACTATAATACACTGTACCACAACACATTGTACTTACCACATATAGACATTTATGTCAGCCTGTGTACTACAATACTATGTACTATAATACAGTGTACTACAACACATTGTACTTACCACATATAGACATTTAAGTCAGCCTGTGTACTACAATACTATGTACTATAATACACTGTACCGCAACACATTGTACTTACCACAAATAGACATTTAAATTTAACGTTTGGATGACTATACTTAAAAAGTGCCAATTGTGGCATCGCCACGTCTATAATTGGGGGTGTTCAGTCATGTTGTGTAGTATTAAGTACCTTCGAAATCAATTGCTTTTCATGGATCATCCCATGCACATGTACATAAATATCCCCTGCCCTTTAGTCCCTCATGCCTTTATTGAGCTGATACCAAGGCGATTTTCTGAATCATCATTTTTTCTTCATATTTTTATATCGACGGTTGCATACCTATAAAACTTACCATCTGCAGTAAATAATGACAAACTAAACCATCATAAACTTGTTTGTTGTCCACTGTATATATTATCCCTGGATTATGATAAAGAGACTGAGACCTTTGCCATTTCTTATATCTTATGAGTTCTTAAACTGGCGCACTTCATGAAATATTGTTACATCGTTGTAAAAATTTCTTCAACCTTGTTGTCTTTTAAATCTAGAACATTCGGACGTCATCTCAAATGGAGAGAAATTACCGACCATATGATTTTCCTGAATTTATGCTACCCGCCTTATTGTAAGTACATCACTGTTTTATCTTGTTACTTCATGTTATGCTTTGTATTATGCATCTTCGGTTATTTTAATCTTTAAAAACGTGTACGTACAAGGGGTGTAACCATTTAAGAAATAAAGATGTTTATGTGTTTGCCCAGGCTTATGAAAATTTAGCAGACCTGTGGGAGAACTCGAGAGCAGATCAGTTAAAGCCCGAGACCAAACGTCCAGAAAGCAAACCCTTCCCATCTTCCCATGTGTATGCAAATCATTTTTATTACTTAAAAATCCGATGTTTGATAACTCCAGGAATTTAGAATGACTTCGTACGAAAAATTCATTTTGCTAATTCATTATTTGTTCGGAAAAAAGTTTCGCCGTTCACATACTATATAGCAGAAATATGATTTTTAAAGTGGAGGTATAGTTTAGGAGAACTTCGTTTAATCTTTATCACCTTTATTGATTGTGAATGAAATATTAATTAATTATTTGCGATAGAGTCCTCGGTGAATAAGAGCTTAGTCTTGTATGTATGACGTAATAGTTCCTGTGACGTAATAGTTCCTGTGACGTAATAGTTCCTGTGATTATTTAAGGTCTTGGTTTCCCGAATCAAGCGCTCGTCATTTTCCTAACATGGATGAAGATCGAGAAGATTATGAGGTAGGGATTTATAAAATGGTTTTCTTCAGCTATTGTAAAATACTACATAAAATAATTATGCCTCGTAAACTCAAGGTTACTGTCCGAGTAACATACAAAGTGTACTATTTTGGTTTTATTTCAAAATCATCTTCAGAAAGAATGATATTTCACTATAAACTGGCTGTTACTTCCATATTTATACACAGAGTAATGGATCTTAAATTACGATAAGAGTAATGCGCACTTTATCTCATTCTCATTGCAATAGCACAAAATATACATACCCCGGGCAAAATCTACCGGATATTGGATGCTATCGGATGTCAAAATTTACGTATCGGGGGGCACATCCTTAGAAACCACTTGACTACGTACATGTGGTGTAGAGATTTAAGTAATTTATCATATCGTTATTAAAATTTAGTATCGTTTTTTTGTTTCTTTTCCCTGTAGGCGCTGTGGACTTTAACAGAGAGACTAGGACAGGTTAAACCACGAGGCTTATCAAAAGCAGGTACTTAACAAGTTGAACAATTCTCAATGTTGTTGCATACCTTGGGTACGCACATGATGTGTTGCATAGAACTTTGCCGACGCGACAAGTAAAAATAGTAAAATTTAAACATGATTAATGAAATCTTTTTTTTATTACATTTTTATTACATGTTTGTAAATGTAGATCGTCCAGGTTGGTATAGTCTTGAGAAGGACTGTTTTTGTTGTTGTTGACTGACGTTTCGACAACCTTAGCGGTAGTCATCTTCAGAGTCAAATGAGGAGTAAACGTCAGGTTAGCCGTATTTGTTATCTGGCTCTTTCGTCATTGTATTGTGTGTACAGGAAATGTGTATTGTCATTTACTCCTCATTTGACTCTGAAAATGGCTACCGCTAAGGATGTCGAAACGTTAGTCAACAACAACAAAAACAGTCCTTCTCAGGACTATACCAACCAGGACGATCTACATTTACAAACATGTAATGATACTCCCGGGTTCAAACCATTTACTTTACATTTATATTATTTAGAAATGGAGGATATTCCAGCATTTCGTTACGGTACTGCATCAAAAGATTCATCTAATCGTTCCTGTGTCATTTGTATGATGAACTATAGCAACCGAGAAAAATTACGTCGCTTACCGTGTAGTCACGATTTTCATGCGAAGTGTATCGATCGCTGGCTCAAGGTAACATTGTTTGTCGCAAGTATTTAACTTGGAATATGTTACTCCCGCTCTGGAGGGACTTTAATGGCTTTCGGCTCGTGTTTGGCGACATTCCTTTATTTTTTGATCCGGTCATTCAAAACGGAAATTGTTTTCCGACTGTACTCCAGAATAGGCATCTTGTTTGATTATATTTTAGGGGATAGTCAGGTATAGTTTAGGACAAAATGATGCCTGGTGGTGGTTAGGGTTAAGGTGAAAGTTATATATCGTTCTTGTTGTTCATTATATAGTAGTAGGGGATAGTCAGGTATAGTTTAGGACAATGTGATGCCTGGTGGTGGTTAGGGTTAAGGTGAAAGTTATATATCGTTCTTGTTGTTCATTATATACGTAGTAGGGGATAGTCAGGTATCGTTTAGGATAAAATGATGCTTGGTGGGGTGTTGGGCTAGAGTTAGGGTTGTATATCGTTCTTGTTGGTCATTAAAAGGTAGGGGATAGTCAGGTATAGTTTAGGACAAAATGATGCCTGGTGGTGGTTAGGGTTCAGGTGAAAGTTATATATCGTTCTTGTTGTTCATTATATACGTAGTAGGGGATAATCAGGTATCGTTTAGGATAAAATGATGCTTGGTGGGGTGTTGGGCTAGAGTTAGAGTTGTATATCGTTCTTGTTGGTCATTAAAAGGTAGGGGATAGTCAGGTATAGTTTAGGACAAAATGATGCCTGGTGGTGGCTAGGGTTAAGGTGAAAGTTATATATCGTTCTTGTTGTTCATTATATACGTAGTAGGGGATAGTCAGGTATAGTTTAGGACAAAATGATGCTTGGTGAGGTGTTGGGCTAGAGTTATAGTTGTATATCGTTCTTGTTGGTCATTAAAAGGTAGGGATAGTCAGGTATAGTTTAGGACAAAATGATGCCTGGTGGTGGTTAGGGTTAAGGTGAAAGTTATATATCGTTCTTGTTGTTCATTATATACGTAGTAGGGGATAATCAGGTATCGTTTAGGATAAAATGATGCTTGGTGGGGTGTTGGGCTAGAGTTAGAGTTGTATATCGTTCTTGTTGGTCATTAAAAGGTAGGGGATAGTCAGGTATAGTTTAGGACAAAATGATGCCTGGTGGTGGTTAGGGTTAAGGTGAAAGTTATATATCGTTCTTGTTGTTCATTATATACGTAGTAGGGGATAGTCAGGTATAGTTTAGGACAAAATGATGCTTGGTGAGGTGTTGGGCTAGAGTTATAGTTGTATATCGTTCTTGTTGGTCATTAAAAGGTAGGGGATAGTCAGGTATAGTTTAGGACAAAATGATGCCTGGTGGTGGTTAGGTTAAGGTGAAAGTTATATATCGTTCTTGTTGTTCATTATATACGTAGTAGGGGATAGTCAGGTATAGTTTAGGACAAAATGATGCTTGGTGAGGTGTTGGGCTAGAGTTATAGTTGTATATCGTTCTTGTTGGTCATTAAAAGGTAGGGGATAGTCAGGTATAGTTTAGGACAAAATGATGCCTGGTGGTGGTTAGGGTTAAGGTTAAAGTTATATATCGTTCTTGTTACTCATTATATACGTAGTAGGGGATAGTGAGGTATCGTTTAAGACAATGTGATGCCTGGTGGTGGTTAGGGTTAAGGTTAAAGTTAAAGTTATATATCGTTCTTGTTGGTCATTATATACGTAGTTGGGGATAGTCAGGTATAGTTTAGGACAAAATGATGCTTGATGGGGTTAGGGTTTTCAAAATATGTTAAATTAGCTACAAGAACTCTTCAAATATTTTGTATTTTTTTAGAACAACCGGTCTTGTCCTATTTGCCGTAAGAATGTTACGGAGAAATAGAGAAGAGATTTGCACTCTATCTTTAATTACTACGCGTCGCAATTGCTGTATAATCCAACAGTCTGTAGAAAAAAATATATACAAACAATTAAAAACTTCGCGTTTTTTACGAATAAACACTTATATTACTTACAAATTCTAAAAAAACGTCGACCTTACGAAATACTTGAAATTATGATGTAATTGAAGAGCATGCAGTGAGTTTGACAGCAAATATTGCGTTGGGAGACTGGTGAGGACTCTATCATTCTTATCCTTCATTTTAAATACCTAATATGTAACTTGCATGGTAAGATTGGAGAGCATTTGACGTAGTTATCTATCGAAGAAAACGAGTGTAATTTTCGTATTATTATGCATGTGAATTAATGAATATAGTATATAGTTGATAATAAAACTAATCATATGTTTTGGGTTCAACTAAAGAATGGCGAATAATTTGCGCAAATTGCAAACGAGATTAATGGTCTTTTCGGTTTAAGTAAGAACGAAATGATGTTTGCTGTGTTTGCACAGGCTTTTGCAAACCGAGGAGACCTTTGAGAGAACTTGAGAGCAGATCAGTGCAAGCCCGTGACCAAAGGTCGAGGGCTGCACCTGGTCCAGAGTTTTCAACTGTCCCCCATTTATATTTTGGAAAGGGTCTTAAGAAGACGCATTAGAAATTACGAAAGAAGCTCATGATATTAACGAAAATCTTACAAAATTTGCACAACTCCACCGCTGTACAGGGAAGCTAAATGCTCTACTTAGGATTTACGCTTTCTGTGTTGTCAGCCGATTGCTAAAGTTTCTTATCACTTTTGAATACGAGCAAACAATATTTCTTGAGAAATTCGTTTGAGAACGAAGAACAAGTGATAATGTGGTGTTAATTACTCCTGTTCTGGAGGGGCACAATTTCTTTAAAATTCCTATATGAAAACAAGGAATATCATCGATATTTTGACTTTGTCGTTTACAAATTTTTACAGCTTCCTTTCCATGAGAGATTATAGCGCTGCAATTTGGCATTTGAGAGGATTTAGCTTTCATACTTTTGCAAATAGTACTTGTAACGCTACTCTCCTGTTGATATTTAATAAAACTACTTAATATTTCTCAAATGTGCGATGGGAATATTGCTCCAAACACATGGGAACACTCAGTGCTGGAGAACTAAATGTATCAGATGGGTGGCTCTCTTGACGTTTTTGTAAATAGTGCCCTTTTAAAATTACCCATTTTAAAGGTAGAAGGGGGGCACCTCCCGCAAGCGCCGCCCCACTTCTACAGCATGCGGAATTGTTGAATGCCCTGCCAAAAAAGTTCATGTCGATGTATTATCATGTACAACTGTCTAATTTAAATTTTGTTTCTTTAACGCCTAGATCTTTCTATAAAATACGTAGCTAGTGCATAGAAAAACGCAAGTACTTTTTATTCTAAAAATAATTTATTCGATTCAATTTTCTAATATTTTATTGCGTTTTGAAAGGTGCTCTATGATACGTACAAGATATTTGCTGTTTCAATTTTTTTATCGACCGCTGACCAAATATGCAAATGTTAAAGTAAGCCCGCGCTTTCTTGCTTTCAGCATGGAGGGGGTAAGCAGCATACGAGAGCGACTATATATGCATTAGTTGTGAGGATGGCGCACGGATTATTTCATTAAAAATGTCGGAGAATTTCAAAATTTTGAATGTTTCTTGTAAATTAATTAAAACACCTTATAAAATAAGTATTGTATATGACAATCATTAGTACAAACGTTGACATGAGAAAGATCATACTACTGAACGTTGTACCTCACACTGTACTGTTACTGTACCTGAACTTTTTGCATGGAAACTCCACTGAATGTATGTCAGCACCTCAGCACATTTCATGTGTTTATGTCACAATGATAACTCAGCAAAAATAGCAGACATTATAATCATTGAATACTCGGGGAAAACCTTGACTTAATTATTATAACTATAGTTCCATAAGAGTCCTCACGATCGGGCCACCCGTAATAGAGACCTATTTCAAATTCCGAGGTTCAAAACATCAACGGGCCAACGCACATTTTCATATAGGGCAGTCAAATTGTGGAACAATTTAGACAAAGATGTGAAAAATTCCAAGTCTCTTGATTCTTTTAAGAAAGCTTTAAAAGATCTTTTGTAGTTCCATCTTGTAATGTTACTTTTATCTTTAAAATCCTTTTAATAATAATCTTTTTTACATACATTTATAAGACAAATATGTATATGTAATTTTGTAAATAGCTACTGAAAAGCCCTATAGGGAGTACCTATCGTTAGTCATTAAAGTTCATTAAAGTTCATTAAAGATACTTATTGAAAAATATATAAATACACACATACACACACGGAGGTATGTATGTGTCAAAATGCATCACCTTAATCATTGAAAGTTGCGCCATGAACATTTTAACCTTCATTAAAGTAAATATCACAAGAGCACGTGCCAAAGATATATTGCTGTAAGCTTTGGTTTGTCGACTTGTCTTCATCAACATGATGAAATGACGTGTTATGAAAACGTTAATGTATGATGACGAGCATAAACCGTTCCATGTAGACAATAAACTGATCACTCTTCATGTCTTTAAAACTTTGAAAATAAGAAGTTTGATATTTGCAATACCGTATTTGACTTATTTATAATTATGACGTTTTTACTTGCAATTCATAGTTAAGTTGGTAATCTTATTAAAATTTTTAAGAATATTTTAATAATTAAGAATATTTTCGTATCAGGCAATGTTTACGAGCGATATTCTTCACACTGGAAACGCTAAGAATCGAATTGTTAGGCGAGAAGTAGAATGCCTTCATAAACTGTAAATGCAAAAATCTGACTCATTAGACTCATTAATACAATAATTATGCAAGTGCACAGGTAATTTCTATTTCTACTCTTAAGTTTCTGCAATTTTTCGTGAAGATATCACTCGATGCGTTTGTTAGTCATCAAAATTAGCTGCTAGGAATGGTATTTACAGAACCGGATTTCTAAAATATGACAGTTAAGAAAATATATAAAGGGGCTTTTAGTTATCTAATTTTCAATAAAATATTTTGATTATATAGATTATGTACTCTAGACAACTGAAAAAGAGTTAATCGGCAGAATGTAGGAATCGATCTAGATCTCTTGTTCATTTTTTCGCAATGACCTTTGTTAGTCTGGTCTACATGTGTTCAGTTGATGCAACTTTACTTGTGAAACGCTCTCTCTCTCGTTGAGACAGTAACACACTGCAGTCTGGTCTACATGTGTTCAGTTGATGCAACTTTACGTGTGAAACGCTTTCTCTCTCGTTGAGACAGTAACACACTGTAGTCTGGTCTAGATGTGTTCAGTTGATGCAACTTTACGTGTGAAACGCTCTCTCTCTCGTTAAGACAGTAACACACTGTAGTCTGGTCTACATGTGTTCAGTTGATGCAACCTTACTGGTGAAACGCTCTCTCGTTGAGACAGTAACACACTGTAGTCTGGTCTACATGTGTTCAGTTGATGCAACTTTACGTGTGAAACGCTTTCTCTCTTGTTGAGACAGTAACACACTGTAGTCTGGTCTACATGTGTTCAGTTGATGCAACTTTACGTGTGAAACGCTCTCTCTCGTTGAGACAGTAACACACTGTAGTCTGGTCTACATGTGTTCAGTTGATGCAACTTTATGTGTGAAACGCTCTCTCTCTCGTTGAGACAGTAACACACTGTAGTCTGGTCTACATGTGTTCAGTTGATGCAACTTTATGTGTGAAACGCTTTCTCTCTCGTTGAGACAGTGACACACTGTAGTCTGGTCTACATGTGTTCAGTTGATGCAACTTTACGTGTGAAACGCTCTCTCTCGTTGAGACAGTAACACACTGTAGTCTGGTCTACATGTGTTCAGTTGATGCAACTTTACGTGTGAAACGCTCTCTCTCTCGTTGAGACAGTAACACACTGTAGTCTGGTCTACATGTGTTCAGTTGATGCAACCTTACTGGTGAAACGCTCTCTCTCGTTGAGACAGTAACACACTGTAGTCTGGTCTACATGTGTTCAGTTGATGCAACCTTACTGGTGAAACGCTCTCTCGTTGAGACAGTAACACACTGTAGTCTGGTCTACATGTGTTCAGTTGATGCAACTTTACGTGTGAAACGCTCTCTCGTTGAGACAGTAACACACTGTAGTCTGGTCTACATGTGTTCAGTTGATGCAACCTTACTGGTGAAACGCTCTCTCTCGTTGAGACAGTAACACACTGTAGTCTGGTCTACATGTGTTCAGTTGATGCAACTTTACGTGTGAAACGCTCTCTCTCTCGTTGAGACAGTAACACACTGTAGTCTGGTCTACATGTGTTCAGTTGATGCAACTTTACGTGTGAAACGCTCTCTCTCGTTGAGACAGTAACACACTGTAGTCTGGTCTACATGTGTTCAGTTGATGCAACCTTACTGGTGAAACGCTCTCTCTCTCGTTGAGACAGTAACACACTGTAGTCTGGTCTACATGTGTTCAGTTGATGCAACCTTACTGGTGAAACACTCACTCTCTCGTTGAGACAGTAACACACTGTAGTCTGGTCTACATGTGTTCAGTTGATGCAACTTTACGTGTGAAACGCTCTCTCTCGTTGAGACAGTAACACACTGTAGTCTGGTCTACATGTGTTCAGTTGATGCAACTTTACGTGTGAAACGCTCTCTCTCGTTGAGACAGTAACACACTGTAGTCTGGTCTACATGTGTTCAGTTGATGCAACCTTACTGGTGAAACGCTCTCTCTCTCGTTGAGACAGTAACACACTGTAGTCTGGTCTACATGTGTTCAGTTGATGCAACCTTACTGGTGAAACGCTCTCTCTCTCTCGTTGAGACAGTAACACACTGTAGATACGCATGATCAAACTGTAAATTTACATCATAAAACTCTTGAAACAGTGTCCACAAACTTCATAGCCATCTCAGAAAATAGCAATATTCATACAAATTATAAATATATGTTAACTTGCAGGGTTACAGTTCATGCATTTTTTCTGATATCGATCAGTCAAATTTGTTGTCTTTAATCCATCACATGAAATCTTTGTTAATGCCAATTTTCTAATCGTCGCAGTCACCCTGCACCCTGCAGAGTATGTAAGTTTCATACCGGAAATGCACAGTTCAGTAAGTTGTGCTCACTCGTGGCACAGTGGAAACAGAAGAAGGCTCCAGAGCTAGTTCTTGCATCAACTTTCGCTATGCTGACATTGCTTTAAATTTATATTTTTAAAATGTTATGCTCATTATGAGTAGTAATTTCATTGTTCAGAGATGTTCTAATGTCTATATTGATATGGAAAACTTTTTGACAAGTCATTGCTGTAGCATTATACTGTTAGTAAATGTTCTTAAATACGAATTATAATACAGTTAAATTTGAATGCTTTTGCCAAAATTTGCCATTATTTAGGATTGTAGGTACTTGGTAGGCAATTTCATACAACTGAAATGTACGTTATTTTTAAGTGAAAATTGAAGGCGGAAGTTGGCGCCATTTGCATATGTTTTAATCGGACGTACTTTTCTATACATTGGCCACATTTTGGCGTACATCTTTTTGGGTTCATGATGTTTCTGAATAAAAGGAAATGGCTGTTCGCTAAATGGTGAAAAGGAATGGTGAAAGTTGTAAAATAACACCTACAAATTTCACACACAAATTGCTGATGCTGTTTATTGCAAATTTCAAGCATGAAATTTATTTCAATTGCATTTATGCATTCTTGGGGATTAATTTTTCCTGCATCAAGCTAATTTTACATTTTGGCTGATTTCAAAAATGAGCAGTTGTTTGAAATGCACTGAAACAAAAATGAGTAGAATATAATGAAAATGAAAGAAGACAACTAAATGCATTTGTGCTGAATTGTAACTTTCAGAAAACTTAATTTCTTAATAGTTATATCCAAAAACAACATTTTGACAGAGTGGACTTTTAGATTTATGATTGATTGAAAAATAAACCTTTAAAAAATTACAGTTTTAACCTCTTCCTTTTCAAGTTCGACGTTCTCAAATCTTTCAAATTCACCCGTTTGATCATTAGAGTTTTTCATTTCGTCAGATTTTGATGTATTTCGGTCTAACATTCGATCTAATGTTCCTAAAGGAGAATCCGAAGCAACAATAGCGTTTCTACCAGGTTTACGTGTAGATTCCTCGTCTATATTTGCCAAAATATTGGTCTGGGAAGAAAATTGCTCGTTGGCATTTGCGAGTGAAAGGTTTGTTGTTTCGAGTGCACTAGAACCCTCCATAGAAAAGAAAAACTCTGAATAAAGAGTTCCTTTGTTTTGTCAAGTTTGCAATCGTAACAAATGAGGCAAATGTCAATTAATTAGAATGAAAATAGAAACACGCTGTGAATGAAACAAAGCGAGGAATGATAATTGTTAAAATTGAAAATTACGTAGTTCGCCCACCCTGAAAACGTTGATAAGTTAAAGATCAAACCACATTTGATACACATTAGGATTTAGGAATGAAAATCTGCTACAATTTTCGTTCATGCTTATATTCGATCAGAGTTTGATAAAGTCAACGCAAAAATTGAAAACGGAGGGTTGAAATCAAGAGAAATGTTGTTATTGTTTGTGTCAATGTGACAAATGACCACCTGATGGATATGATCCAGTGTAATGACGCCAAGGCGCGAAACTTTATAAGATTATTCAACTACATAATGAAAATCATGTTAAAACCACGAGAAGTTAAACTTGAATCCTAACTTCATTAGTATTTTCTCTGATAGCATAATTTTTAATTTTGTAAATATGCATTAAAGATGACCTTTAAGCGAAAATCTAAAAGGTAAGAATTCTAAAATTTTCACTTGATTCAAATATTTACTATCACTACTATGGTATGGCATATGGGTGAAACATGTTTTACTGTTGGTTGACAATATTGGTGATTAATAAAGCAGGGATGATTTTAATATTAGAATTTATAATTTTTATTGCCTATTATGTCAAAATGTCAATCATTAACAACACCAACAGTCGTTTTCAGGACTGCTCTAACCTTGAAGATCTACATCTACAAGCATTTAGCTTTACTCATGTTTTATTTTTCACCATCATCTCTTGTAGGAAAGGGAGAAAAATTGTTAATTACACTGATATAAGCTCCAATTGTGAAAGTGATGGTAATGTATTGTACATACAGTGATCTCATAGCTACGTAGCTATTAATGAAAATTATAATTGCTCTGTTTTACAGTAAAGTATGTGGTTATACACTCTGGTTTACATAGGTAGGAGAAGGGTACATTTTATATTATATCAGTTTACATGTACCTACATTGACACTGTTCAAAAAAATACTGATGCAACAAATGTGAATGTAGTCCCCACAATTATTTACTGGCTGCATGATTGATCTAGTGCACTATTAAACATTTTACATTATTTTATTGTGAAAAAGTTGAGATTATTAATTTGGTAGATATGCAATAAATATATACAGCATCGTGCTGTTTTACACAGATATTATAGTAGATCTCTAATCCTTTATAAGCCTTTGTTTTGCCTTGTGTAATCAAATGTACACACTAATTTCTTCAATGTGTGATACAACAACGTCATGAGATTTTTTTTCTATTGTAAGGCCTTCCGTCCGTGAAAAGTTGTACCAAAGAGATATAGAAAAAGCAATTGAAATGTCACTAATGAATACACCTTATGACAGAAAGGATAATGATGTTGGACAAAATGAAAGCAGTCATATCAAAATAAATAGTGAAGGTATCGGTATGTAAAATTATAAATGAAACTGTGAAAAGTGATTACATCATGAAAGAGGAAAAAAGGTTGGGAAGCTGCCCTAATCTACGCAGTAATGAAGTAAATCCAATTCAAACAATGATTTTAGAATTTTTAAAGTTTTTCATTGTTAAGCATTATATAATGCTGTCTTACATTGACCTCAAATTCACATTTTTAGTAAGACTCTTTTTCCCCATCACAAAGCCCTTAATTTTAAACTCATAATGTTTACAGAGTAATCAGTCAAAAGCACAAGTTTTGAAAATGACAACTTTGTTATACTGTCCTAAATGAGGACAGAGAAGGATTTTCTCAGAGTTTTATAAACTAGTCACCACTCTTAGTGGTCTGAATTTAACTGTTGAATTTAGGCACATAGTAGCATATATCCATCAATCACAGTTATAACTGGGTAGCCTTAAAATTAGGAATGTTTAAAAGTGCGGACATATGAAGGTGTGTATGGATGAAGGTATGTATGGATGAAGGTGTGTATGTATAAGGGTGGGTATTTATAAAGTTAAGGATGTATCAATCTGTGGATGCATCAAGGTTTGGATGTATGATGGTGGGGATGTATGAAGGTAGGGTGGGGATACATAAAGGTGGAGTGGGGATTTATGAAGGTGGTGATGTATGGACGAAGATAGTGATGTACATATGAAGATAGTGATGTACCTATGAAGATAGTGATGTGTTGCATGTAGTACTACTTTTAATGGTGTGATGAACTTTCTAATTGACTTTTTGCATGGTATTGTAGTGTGTGATTCAAAATGAAAATACATAATCATTATTATGTAAGATGCAGTACCATGTACATATAATGCTGATTGCTCTCTTACTCATATAATCTAATTAAGATGATGATGCACGCGACACCTGCGATGCACGTGACACCTGCGATGCACGTGACACCTGCGATAAGAGTAGTGCTAAAGTGAACAAGATTCATGACAATGATGTCGAAAGTGATTCCAATGAAGAGAAAATTGTGAACCTGAAGAACGGCAAGAAAATGTCTGGTGGGAGTCATATGTTTTCCGGTAGGCTTTATTTTTGTATTTATAAAAATTGTCATTGATTTCAAGTGTCCTATTTGCATATAATGAAATAACCAAAATGCAGTTGGCATGATTATACAATCAAAATATCAAAACAGTTTGATACATACGTAATTGCATTTGCTTGCAGCTTGTCTTTTGTGTTATTCTTATTAGTTTTTCTTCTGACAAGTGCTTATAATAACAAATTTTTGATACACATTTGTTTTAAAAAGAGTCATCCGACTACAAATGCACCCCTGTTGATGGTACAAAGGAGAAAAAGTCATCACCTATAAATTCTTCGAAAGAGAACTTTGAACATTCGAAAAATGAAGGGAAAATTTCCACATTTTATTCACCATAGTTTCTACAGTTCTTACTCGCTACATAGTCACTGACATTTCTTTAGCTGTAACCCACTTCACTAGCAAGTTCGCTTTTGGAGTAGCATTGATCTTTCGACATTACCAATACCATTCCACGACATTCAACATTGATTCTTGGCTTTGGACGTATAATTCAGTAATTTGTCTAGATTCTTCTTATCCACTGAATAATTTTTCTTTTACTAAGTGGTGTTGGAATGAAGTTCAACTATATATGTCTTAAAGTGAATGGTTTGAACCGGGGAACTCTGAAGATGACTACCGCTACGGTTGTCGAAACGTCAGTCAACATCAACACGAACAGTCCTTAGGACTTTATTGTCATGGGTGATCTACATCTACAAACATATATATACGTCAAATGTCATTTGTGACTGTTGTGGGACATCTGACCGTGGTTAAATATTATTAACAACAGAATGTAAATTTGTATTATAAGCTATAACGTCTTCCTATATAAAATAAGAAAATTGAGCAGTTTTTTTTAGAGTTGAATGGCGAAATTATACGGACTATTATAAATTGTAAGGGAGAGAAAGTCGTTTGAAACTTAGTTTTTGGCTTGCGCTTGTAGCCAACCATTGACATTTGCATATTTAAATTATTGGTTCTCTCTTGCACATTAAATATCAAGAGTATATAACTTTCACGCAAATGCCCTCAAGAGCGTTCACTGTACCTCATAAAAATGTTTCTACTTTTTTCAAACTTATTTCTGATTCCTTTTTGTATACAATACGTAATACAATTATATGGCTTTCAATACTGGCTCCTTAAACTTATCCATTCTAAATTTAATCACTATTGTCTATAAAATAATTTAAAAGTGGCAGGTTTGCATGTACATCCTACGATTTAAAACTTTTGCCATTAACCTTAATTGATGCCCAAGTATTGACATGCGAAAACTGGTATTTGCGATAGATTTCAATTGCCTCGGTTGCCTGTTTTGACCAAAACTCTCCAGTGATCTTTTTTATAAACGGCAGAAACCTAGGTCCTTTATACGTATGTCGCACGTTAATCTTTCAGACCTGGTCATTAGCAACACAAGTCGTTTGTGGTTTCGTTTGGTTTCTATGGTAACCTTGATGTGCGAATACAAAAACGCCCTGTTCTTGCACTTAGTTCGTGTCAGCAACGTCTACGAGAAAATATCATTTTGGAATGTCTGCTTCATGTAAATGACGAACTTTGAACATGTTACGATAAAGCATTCGTTCATCACTGCAAGCATAGCTTTATTTTATACTGGACGGGGTATATTTGCCCTCCATTTTGACTTGACATCAATAATTTTTTGTTCCAGAAATACTCATATCAATGTTTATAGTTTTGTGTTTTGTATTGTAAACATAAATCGTAAACTACGTAACTACTCAGAGGCTGCGCAAGCTCGATAATTGGGGGGAGGGGGAAGGGGCAAATATTCATATATGCATGTTCTACTTTGGTTGCTCCTAACAGTCGATTCATTTCAATTGAATTCATGATCCACCTTTAGATATACTAAAAGCATAGAAACCCTTCATTATCTTGTATTTTTAAGCTTTTGTAAGTTACAAGAAAAATGTGCATGTGTGTGTATAAGTTTTCAAAGTTTCTTTGTCGACGCATCTTTATAACAATCTCACTTTTGAATAATGTTTTTCCATATCTGTACAACATCATACATTAGGGCATTGTCAATCGTTTAAAAAATGTTCTGGGATAAAGAAACAACAGTCTCAGCCTCCAAGCCAAAATGTGTCAAAATGTCATTATACGAAGTTTGCATTCTGTACAGTTCTTGCTCGCTGGGTTAGATTGTCCATCTTCTAAATGTGTTTTTCTCGCGATATGACTCTAGCCAGTCACGTGCTGCTTTCATTGATGAATTCATTGGTCCCTGTCCGCCCACGTATGCGACTTTACCTTCTTCGATGGCGTAGAGTCTCTCAGGCAACGCTCCATAGGCCACATTTGCATTGTCGTCCATTGTATCTACCATTATTTGACATGGAAGATTGAGTTCTTGTAGCTTTTGCGCGGCTTTGCATCTTTCATATTGATTTCGATGCTTTCGTACTTTGATAAAGTTATTCTAAAATGAAGTGAAATTAGCTTCCTTCATGACTTTATCAAGAAATCTTAAGACATGTTTTTCTATACACAAAAGATTGTCAAATAATGAAAGGGACGATTCTTTTTCAAACAACATCTTTGTTTTTGCCTAATGAAAGTATAGTTCAACAGAAGTTCACTATTTCTGCCTTTGAAAAGGTCCCATTTTATCAGTAAGATAAAAAAGCTATTATTATGTCAGCAGAACATATTGTCTGGCTATATAGCCTACTAAAATGTTATGAGTGTTTGCAAAAGATTTTTACCTGATGAAATTTATATGCTTCGTTATTATTATTATGGTTATACAAAGAATGTTTTATAAATCACGAAATTGCTGTAGCCGTTTCATTCATGTTATACTGGAAAACTATTCTTCATAATGAATAACGTAGCTATAATATAACTCTACGATTTTCATCAATTCAAAATTATGTTGAAGAAATAAAAGAATTTACCTTGAAAGACCATCCATCAATTGGATGAGCTTCTTCAATATATACAACGACAAAATCCACGATATCTGAAAAGTCTTGAGCTAGAACACCAAATTCTTTCAGTTTATTCATAAACACTGGGCAACTACAACTGCCAAAGTACACGACTAATGCTCTCTCAGCTTGAAGTAAATCAAGTAAACGCACACATTTCTTTCCATCGGGTGTTACCAAGGGAACATTTTGTGCCTCCAGTCCGTTTCGCATTTCCTTTGTAATATCGACAACTCTTGATTTCAAACTGACTTAAACATTTCCCATCCAAGAAATGTTTCCCAGTAGTTGGTTTTAGGGATATTTAATCCCGTCACTTTTCTCATACCATTCTCGAGCACAAACCCTAAACCTAGTTATTCATGAAAATCATAAAACATTAATCATGATCATTTTGACAGAAAAAAGAAAGAGATGCCATATATTGGTGTGAGAGTTAGTGCACCATTATAAGGCTTTTTTGTTGTGTGAAAGGACGTACTTGTTTATCAAGACAATATGTGTGTGATTAGAAAAGAGTTTTATGGTTGATTGGACAAGCAGCACAAAGCCCACATTTAAATTTAAGAACAGTCCAAATGCACACAAAATTTTATGTTGCCCAAAATTCGTATGAACTAGCTGTCTAACATAAGATTGTATTACATTTATATCTATATACGAGTATCCATAATGTATATGCCATTTTAAACTACGAATTCCGAAATTTTATGTGAACTTGTAAAAGCAATTTGATCTACCGTTACTAGCTTGACCATTGTTCTGCGAGGTCTAAATTTTAGGCCCCATTTACAGAGCTTACAAGCTTTTTACTTCTGCTATCTGTATATTTAGTTTATAAAATTTTACATCTGTAAGGTTTGTAAATTTTAGCTTGAGCTTATTTGCCTGCATTACAGGAAAAAATGACCGAAGAAACGAATGATTGTTATGGTTAAGGCGTGACATATAAACAACGTAGGTTTCTCACCTGGAATATAATAAAATATGCTACAAATAGCAAAATGACTGTTACTTCAACGGTAACCCAACATTTAACTGCGATCCTGTACATGCTTTCACCTTTCATGTCTGTCTTGCTTGAAGTCTATGTGACTGGGAAGATTTCGATTCATTCATTTAGTGTATTTGAAAGTTCTTAATTTGCATTTTATTCTTTTAAAAGCGTAAAATCACGGTATAATATTTCCTGTTCTCTGTTTTCATGGGACATTTCAAATGCCAGGAATAACTGAATACACATGAATAACGGACCAACAACCAGAAATTTTCTCTCACAAAAAATTTCCATGCCTAATCCTTGAAAGAAAAGTAAAATGTATGCGAGACATGTTTTGAAAATTTCGTGCAAAGAAATCATGTCATAGCAAAATAACATGTAATAAACTTTAATATTCAATGCGAATGACGTAGATACGATAGTGTTAATCACGCTCGTAAAATGACCACTATTGTGTTTGATAGTTTCATCCGTGCCAGCAAATGTTTGTAACGATGGAAAACATCAAGGAAGAAAATTCAGAACATTCTTTACTCTATATAGGCATAGACGTTTTAAAGCATTTTATATTCAATGAATGCAATCGAACTTACCGTAAAAGGACACCCTTGAGACCAAGACTTGGTGTTCTGTTGTCGGAGGTGTCAGCTTATGAGATGTTTGTTAATTTTTGCATAATTATAAAAAATTTTTTAAATATGACTGTTTTTACAATGTTTTGAAATATGATTATATGCTTGATAACGACTGAGAAGTCCAACATCTGTACAGTTAAACGTTTTGAGTCCATAGACGTTATCATATAACAAATTCATCATGTATATTGTCATTGTACAGACACAATGCTTAAAGTTCACATGACATGAAAAAATTTTCTTTGAGGAACATAAATGCGCAAACCTGGAGAAGAAACTATAGTGGTTCATGAAAAAAAATGAAGGAGACGAAAGAATTTACATGCATTACAAAACAACATCTATTTATATACCATAATATGTCAATTAGTCGGGATAATTACTAATTTGACTGAAATTAGATCAAGTGCAACCGCTTACAACAGTTTATAATGTTGTTTGTGAAAGTTGTTTTGGTATTCACCTCCGCTAACGAAAGGTCGTAAATGTGTCTTCACATACCAAGAGGTCTTGGCTTTTGAGAAGTGTATAAGTTTCTTGACTGTATACGATTTTTTTCATACTGTATCAACCCTAAATATGGTTTTCAATTATTATTTGGTATATTTATGAATATATAAAAAATTTTATTGAAGTTGTGTGTTTCTTAGTCAAATGATTTTCGACAGATGAGAGTAGAATTATTACATTAAAGATCAGCCGGTATAAAGACGGTGGAGGTAGTAGGAGAATAGAAGTAAAACATTAGTGATCGAACAGTATAAAGCTAGGACCATGGACGTTAGGCTCATCTTTGCTCTCATTTCCCTCTGTTTTACCATTATCGTAAATTTTTCAAAATAATAGTTCATTTTCATTCAGTTAAATTCATTTTATCTCCTCGATAAATTTATGCATAGTGATTATGAATATGTTAATTAAGGATTGTGCTTGACTCTCAATTAGAATAATATCAATAGGTAAATTGAAGACTTGTTAATAGTATTTTGTCTTTTTAAAATTAAATCCATATGTACGCTATACGTACCTTTTTTCTTAATCTGCCCGTACTCGCACGGTCAGCGGCTAATCACTATGTGAAATGTGGTTGTATCTAACATCTTTTAGTAACATCGGGCATCGCATAATAAGGCCTGTTTCAAACGTTGAATTTTGAATTTTATCGAGTACAATTTGGCGCTCGCGTTTTGCTCACAACAAAGTCTGGAACGCGATGAAGGAAAGGCGTCGTGTAATATTATTGGAAGAATAACAATCAACGTTGAATAAGGGTTGCTGCATTTTTTCAAAACAAAGTAGAAGTGCTTTTACAACAGAGATTTTTAAAATACGTTGCCTCAGACCAGTTAAAATATACAAAGCATGTTCAATTTTTTGTCTTCTTTGCTTAGCTTGCGATATAACATGACAATACAAGTCTGTAATTGTTTACCGTGTTTAAATTTGAGCTTTGCGCCATATTAAAATATCTATTTTTACCATAGATGTAGTAGTCATAGGTACGTACATATTATATGTGTGCGCGTTGGGCCATCATGATTATTCAATATGGCGGCGTCAACAGGGCAAAAGATATGTAGATTGTATTACAAAAATGAGGTTTTTCGCAGTTCTTGCCATTGTATTGTATCGAAATTTAACCAATCAAAGTTTATTTGAAAAAGGAACATACAGCGATTATTTTAAGCATGTATTTGAGTGAATTCAATAAAAACTCGCGAAGTTATCCACCGATAACAATTTGTGTAAAATGGTCACTTGGTCCATTCCTGTGTTTATTGCCAGAAATATTGTACTTTGTTGACATCTAGCTTTTTCAACTTAAGTAGTGTATCATGCTCTTAAAACAGAACATTCAGACAATTTTACAGGTTCATTTGTCTGCATCGATTTAACATGAACTATTTGCTAATCAGTTCAGTAAAGTTCCAATTTTATTTAAATGACCTCTGTCAACTAGTGAAAGTTTAACTCTTTAATATATCAAACTATTCGGTTGAACAATAGCAAAATTATAAAGAAATTTCTTACTTTGCAGAGATCCATACATTGTAAATATAGTCAATTGGAAATTTACAAAACAGCTTTTCTGCTGCTGGAAGAAAAAACTAGTTTATTCTCCCACACAAGCAATTTTTAAAATTTAAACATTAAAGCAGCAGGTAAAGCGTTTCTATTGTGCTGCGTAAATGCAAAAAAAATATTATAAGGCATCATGCATAAAGAATTTTCTAAAGTATTTTTGGATCTATGTTAAAGCATAAAAGATGAATAAATTGGGTTCATTGATACCTGACGAAGCAAAATTTATTAGAAACATGATGAATAAAGTACAATCTCTAAAAAGGCGTATTAGTGCCACATCTACGTCCTATGACTTCTCTAACTGGCTTCTCAAACCTAAAAATTCACAACTCTTGTTGACGTTGCGTGACTCAAAGAAGAGAATGAACAATATTATACGCGTGTCTTCGTGAGAATTTTAATGCAAATTTAAAGCACGCTAATAAAATTACGTCAATGGAATTAAGCTGTTGAATAATTTAAAAATTAAAAAGAATTTTTTGAAGAGGTGTTTTTATTTTTTTGCAATCAGTATTAAATATTCCCTGTCACACAATCTGACTCAAAAGCAACGTAACAAAAGAGACATTTCTTTGCAGATTTTTTTCAGAAAGCGTTTTTATTTTGTAGAAACTGAATAAATTTGAGAGAACGTTTTTGCATTCAATGACAATGTAATATTTTTAAAAACGAATTGTAGAAAAATCATTATTATTTTCAGAAAAATTGTTCAAAAGTATAATCTAATGATGTACATTTATACATATTGCACAAGTAATGGGCCCAAACAACTTAAACTTGACATTATGTTAATAATGTCGGACTATTGCAACTCACTCTACTGTGGTCTCCCGAAATATCTCTGAAAAGACTTTAGTGTATTCAGAACAGTGCGGCAAGATTAGTAGTGCAAGCGAGGAAATTTTATCATGTCACTCCAGTTTTGATAAAATTGCAGTGGCTTCCCGTCCGTTTCCGAATTATGTTTAAGATATTGCTCATGGTGTACAAGTGCCTGCATGATATGGCTCCCCCATACTTGGCTAACGTCATAAAACCAAGAAAAACGTCACGTTCACTCAGATCTACAACCATGGAGTATCTAGAAGAACAAAGATCTCGTCTAGTGACCTACGGTGACAGATCATTCAGTGTTGCTTGACCCAAACTGTGGAATAATCTTCCACTTCAAATTAGGAAAAGTTCTTCAATTCAATCTTTCAAGAAAGAACTGAAAAGCCATTTATTTAAAAACTTTGTTTCATTTGGTTTTACGTGGTCTTTAATGAAAAATGACATTTTATTACTGCTTTTATTTAAGTTTGATATTTATTTTCTTTTATTGTGAAGCGCCATAAATTTTTGATATGAGCGCTATACAAGTTTAATTATTATTATTATAAGACACAAACATAAGTAGTACGCCAAAATTTATGATAGAAAAATAAAAAAGTATGTGCAGAAACTTTGCTTTTATACATTCGGTGAAAACGAAAAAACACTTACCTGTATGAGGATTGTAACTTATGAAAATGTAAGTCGTAAATATTCTCTGAAAATGTTTAGGAGAGGGGGGTCGCAACCATTAATTTGTCTTTTTTTGTCCTTATTTTCCGAATCTTGAGAGAGGAAAGAGAAGTAATACGTTGAAATGAACTAAATTTGTTAATAACATTAGAAATTAAAATCATGTGAAATGTGATGTATAGAGATAATTACCTAAGAAACTAACCTTGTTTGAATTTGATGTACTTTGGAAAGTTTTATGTTAGGTTAAGTAAAAAGGGGGGGAAATCATACTATAATGAGCTATAAAAATTAAACAAAAGTTGCTTATAGACAATACTCCTTTTTTGCTTTATAGTATTTTATCTATGAACGGAAACTAACATCTGCAGTGCACATTTTTCTTTTAGTTTATAGAGACACTTGAAATAGTTGACCAATTTGAATAACGTCATCATAAACATATTTTTTCCCGGGGTGTTGTTATAAGGAATTAAAATAATTTGGTCTGTTATTTTCAATGTAAATGGTATTTCTTGGAATTTTTGAAACAATATTTTAATTGCATATTTTTTCTTACACTAAATTTCTGTAATTATGGCTCTTTATCCAAAATATTATTAAAAATCATCAAAATTTGTGTCCCCGTCCACAGAAAAGTACTTGTCTTGTGTTGATATCAAAATTCAAAAAGCCAATATTACTAGCACTTTAGGACAAGACAGTTTCTACTTCAGTTACATTTTTTCTAAGCTGCTAATTGAGAAGAATAGAAAACAACTCGTCAGAACTCAAAAGAGAAATTTCATTGATAGCCAAATTGCCTCTTCTATGGTAAGTAATGAAAACATAAAGAAAACCTGAAATTCAGAGCTTATCACATAATTTAAGAACAATAGCTCTTAGGGAATAAACTTCCTTATCAAGACCATACATTTTATTTATCATAGTCATGCTTAGACGTAATCCAACAGATAATCTAATACAATCTTTATCTTTTAAAATACTTAAAGCATTATGAAACATTTTTGTATGTCTTTTTTAAACATTTTCTATAGTTAAGAGTAGCGCAGCCATGCGTCATGTATACATAGCTGCCATTTGGTAATTTGACAAACTTAAAATTCTTACAAAACTTTTACTGTTTCGCAATTCTTTTTATCATTTTATATTTATCTTTATGATGAAAACAATAACGAATTGATTGATCACAACAAAGGGTAAAGTTCTACTAATTGATATTTATGAATGTCTGGAAATATATTATATCATATTTCCATTGATACGCCAGAGAAAATCGTAGCTACGTCAAAAATATTTGAAGCAACCATCATTCGTATTTTTGTTCTAAATAGAGATAACAAAAAAATGTGTTTAACTATCATAGACATTTAAGATAAATAAAATATTTGCAAAGTGTTTTACGTTTTTACATGAGAATGATAGTAAACTAAAACTTGAATGCATGTGTGATAAAGAATATTTGATTGGACATTAAAACTAAGCTTTAGGATTGAGGGAAATGATAAAGAAAGAGAGGTACATAATTCAACAAATTGAAATGGGGCAAATCATCATCAAACATCAATACAGAAGTCATTTTAAAAAGCAAGGAATGCATGCAAAATAAATGATACATTTTTCGTCTCTTGTTTCTTCTGTTACAATTATTCAATATTGCAAGAATATTTTTGACAGATGGCAAATGCCTTTTAATTGTCTGAAACAAAATATTTGAAGAATTAAAACTTTTTGATACTTCAAAGTTGAATTCCTCTATTTAGTTATTTAAAGTTTTTTTACTTTAGCAATTCTGTCGAAATGCTCATAAATTTCATTGAATTCAAAACTTATATCATTATGAGAGTCGAACTTCTCTATACGGCTGACAGATGTTGTAAACAGAATATCATGTATATCATGTAAAATGTAAGTCGAAAATTTTGCTCTGAAAATGTTTAGGGGGATGGGGGTCTGCAACCATTAATGTGTCTTTTTTGTCCTTATTTTCTGCTTTTTGAGAGAGGAAGAGAAGAATACATTGAAATAAACTAAATTCATTAAAACATGAGAAATTAAAATCATGTGAAATGGGATGTATAAAGATAATTACCTAAGAAACTAGCCTTGTTTGAATTTGATATACTTTAGAAAGTTTCATGTTAGGTTAAGTAAAAAGGGTAAAACATATTATAATGAACTATAAAATTGAACAAAAGTTGCTTATAGACAATACTCCTTTTTTGGCTTTATAGTATCTTATCTATGAGCGGAAACTAACATCTGCAGTGCACATTTTTCTTTTAGTTTATAGAGACACTTGAAATAGTTGACCAATTTGAATAACGTCATCATAAACATATTTTTCCCGGGTGTTGTTATAAGGAATTAAAATAATTTGGTCTGTTATTTTCAATGTAAATGGTATTTCTTGGAATTGTTGAAACAATATTTTGTTGCATATTTTTCTTACACTAAATTTCTGCAATTACGGCTCTTTATCCAAAATATAATTAAAAATCATCAAAATTTGTGTCCCCGTCCACAGAAAAGTACTTGTCTTGTGTTGATATCAAAATTCAAGAAGCCAATATTACTAGCACTTTAGGACAAGACAGTTTCTACTTCAGTTACATTTTTTCTAAGCTGCTGTTTGAGAAGAATAGAAAACAACTCGTCAGAATTCAAAAGAGAAATTTCATTGATAGCCAAATTGCCTCTTCAATGGTAAGTAAGGAAAACATAAAGAAAACCTAAAATTCAGAGCCTATCACATAATTTAAGAATAATAGCTCTTATGGATTAAACTTCCTTATCAAGACCATACATTTCATTTATCATAGTCATGCTTATTCGTAATTCAACAGATAATCTAACATAATCTTTATCTTTTAAAATACTTAAAGCATTATGAAACATTTTTGTATGTCTTTTTTAAACATTTTCTATAGTTAAGAGTAGTGCAGCCATGCGTCATGTATACATAGCTGCCATTTGTTAATTTGACTAATTTAAAATTCTTAAAAAAACTTTTACTGTTTCGCAAATCTTTCTATCATTTTATATTCATCTTATGATGAAAACAATAACGAATTGATTGATCACAACAAAGGGTAAAGTTCTACTAATTGATATTTATGAATGTCTGGAAATATATTGTATCAAATTTCCATTGATACGCCAGAGAAAATCGTAGCTACATCAAAAATATTTGAAGCAACCATCATTCGTATTTTTGTTCTAAATAGAGATAACAAAAAAATGTGTTTAACTATCATAGACACTTAAGATAAATAAAATATTTGCATAGTGTTTTACGTTTTTACATGAGAATGATAGTAAACTAAAACTTGAATGCATGTGTGATAAAGAATATTTGATTGGACATTAAAACTAAGCTTTAGGATTGAGGGAAATAATAAAGAAAGAGAGGTACATAATTCAACAAATTGAAATGGGGCAAATCATCATCAAACATCAATACAGAAGTCATTTTAAAAAGCAAGGAATGCATGTAGAACAAATGATACATTTTTCGTCTCTTGTTTCTTCTGCTACAATTATTCAATATTGCAAGAATATTTTTGACAAATGGCAAATGCCTTTTAATTGTCTAAAACAAAATATTTGAAGAAGTAAGAATTTTTAGCTTTTAGATTTTCTTTACTTTAGCAGTTCTGTCAAAATACTCATAAATTTCATTCAATTCAGAATTTATATAATTATGAGAGTCGAACTTCTCTATACGACTGACAGATGTTGTAAAGCAGAATATCATGTATTGTTTAACGGCCTTCATTTCTGTAACTAGACGACATGTAGTTACAGAGAGGCCTGCTAGTCTGTTAAACACTGCGCAACAGATTATTTGGCATTTAATTTTGCTGGCTTAGTTAAGCAATACGTCTTTCCCATTCATCTGGTAAACTGAGTTAACATGAGCAAATTTGAAATCAACCCATTTTAAATTTTTCTAAACCGCTCTTGGTGAATTTCATATATTGCGTCATTTCCTTATAGTGGACATTGAAATGTTTTATTTCTTTCTATGCTTTCGTTTGCTAGAAACCTTACATCTATTTATTGAAAACACGTTCTAGGCGGATGAACTCTACTTATATGAATTGTTGTAAACATGAGTCTTTATAATGAACAATTTGTCTAATCTATTGCAACAATATCCAATCATCATAAATTATCTGAAAGCAAACGTGAAAATACTTTTGGAGAAGGAAGTTAAAATGTTACATAATTATAGAAATCAATACTTGATTTATATACCAAAAAGTTTAAGAACAAATGATTATATGATTATATTGATGATAAGCCTTTCATAAATAAAGTAAATGTTTTACTACAAAAGCTTTAAAGAAATTAGTAATCGTCCACCTTCTAATAAATAGAAAATAAAGATGATATCAAGCTCAACAAAAGCGTTTCTTGGGACTCTCATAATCCTGTCTATTAGTGGCCAAATAGTAAATGGTAATGACGACATATCAATCTGCAAGAAAAGCTTAGAGACATTAAAAGACAACGTGAAAGAATGGATGGAAACTTGCGTTGATAAAATGGCAATGACGATAACACAACTGCATGCAAGGAAGTAAAACAATACAACAAAGAAATGATGCAAATGCAAACAGAAATGTGTTTTACAAAGGTATAATCTTTAGATTTGACAAATTTTCATAGTTTCTTGTTCATAGCACCAAAAACAATATTCAACAAAATAGGTAGAAGTTGTGCAGCCAATCTAATTTCAGTTATTAGTAATATTTCTACAGTGAAAAATTCTTTCTAAAAATACTTATTCTGGTCTTTCACCAAATATTATGATCGTAAAGTCTATAAAATTTGCATTTTATAATCCACTCTCATCGTTGTTATTTATATTTTTTATTATTTATTTAGATGTTTATCCAAAGCCATATTTGATTATTATGAGCTTTGATAAAATATACTCTGTTGATTCTATTACTGGAGATATTCATGTCAGCACTATTAATGGCTCAAGTAAGAATAAATCTGACCATGCATCAAGATATAATGACATAGAAATTGATGTAGTTGAGAATGTGCTTTACTACATTGATGACAAAGACATAAAACGGGGAAATCTTGACTTGACTAGAAACGAAATTTTTGCGAAAAATGTTTCTGTTCATGACATTACAGTTGACTGGATTGGTCGTCGTATCTTTTACATTGACTCCACGAACATTATCTACCAAATTTATTTGAACATTACATTTCAAGAGAACATTACAAGTGTTATGAGGCTTCAACCAGGCTTACAATTTTCCAGCATTGCATTTGACTCAAAACATGGGTAAGGCGATATTGAAATTCTTTTTATTTACTTGTAAGCGTAAAATTAATAAACTATCTCAATCTATTGGGGGTTTTCTTAAGTAAGGTAGAGACGGTGTTTTAATTTAATAGAAAAGTTGAATTTTATAAGTCCGTATTATGGTTTGTTATTTAAAGGTTTAATAATAGAAAAAATATCGATTTTCCGGGAAATCAAAACTCGCTTTTCCCGAGGGAGCGAATATTAAGTATTTTGTTGGCTATAAAGAAACAAACGTCATATAGTTCGACAGATTTTATTAAAATCAACGTCTTTCGGAGAGATTTGGCCAGCAAAATTTTATTGCGTGACTATAAGGCATTTCAAACCAACTGCAATAATGAACACGTTTCGTGTGATTATTCAGCACACATGCAGTAGAAAATAACATGCAGATCCTGAAATTTCAAAAATCGACAGCGATATTTATGTTGAGCAACCAAAGAGCTTTGAAAAAAAAGGTAACAACGGAGGGATCAATGTTTATATATGATGAAGTCATTAAATGAAATAAAACAGAGCGTTAGAAACTGAAATAAAATATTAAATAATTACTTTGCACATAAAACTTTAGTCAAATACTCACAGAACCTTGGCTTTCCACAACCTACAAAAAAGTAGTACGACTTCAATGTGCAACTTAGTGTTGTACATTTAATTCCATTACTGGCTTCGGCTAGCCACCTAAGAGGGCTTTTCTTTGTCAGAAAAAGCAATTTGCTTGACGCCTCCATGGTAATCATATGCTTAATAAGATATGCCCTACACAAAACATTTCAACAAATTGGGAGCATTGTTTGTTGCTATACTGTGCTCTTTTGTATACTTTTTTGAGGCAGTGTAAGAGATGTGCAACAATCTCAATACGGAATGGCAATAAAGTTTTAAAATATTCACGAATGTGGTGAACGTAAAAACCTCAACTTTTCGTTTTGTAATGAAGATAAAAAGAACTACACACATTCCAACGTAGTTACATGAAAAATATAAAATGGATTTTAGTTTTCAAAATGTGGCAATTTAAAAACATAATCAATATATCAAGTTTATAGTTTTTCAAGCCTTCTTTTAACTTGCATTGAATGGCAGAGTATATTGAAAAGTCGAGAGCTGCAAATTAATTGGCTGCACACTTTCCTTTAATAAATCTAATCACACATCCAATCAAATAACCTGAATGGAAAATCATTCCACTACCTTTAGTTCATGCAGTGTTTCTTAGTGTAGCTTAGGAAAACGTTAGGTCTGCAGCTGCTCCACTGATGATGAATCTGAATATAATAATCATGTGATTAAAAAGAAATTGGCTTAAAAGCCATGTGGAGCGAGAGCTTTCTGAATATGTTATAAATAATTTACGACTTTGAAATAATTTCCTCTTCTAACGATTCCTATGAACTCTCCATTCATGAGAGCCTTCTAATCAATAAATACAAGTCTTCACTCTTCGTGCAAGGAGGTTCCATTCCACTTAACCTCTCTTAACTTCACTAAATTTTACTTCCCAACTTCTTTATCATGTAATCCATTTGACACCGCCTCCTTTAGACGTAATTTAACACCTTTTGTAAATACAATATCTTGTCGTAAAATCTCATTATAAATTATTACTTGCCTGAATATGTCTTGAGTAAGGACGAAACGTCAGTATAAATTCAATTTTACAGCTTTTGGTTTATTTCTATAGCTCTAATTAAAACTTTATATTAGGCATTAATTGTTATCATATTACAAGAAAAAATTAAGTTTCACGAACACAAGTTTTTAAAGAGTTCGGGGCAAGGTGCAATGAACGACAAGAAGACATGGACTTTGCTCTTACTCAAATGCGTAATATATTTAAGAAATTGTTGATTGATAAGTATTGGAGATTGCAAGTGTGCTGCGATGATAATCAAAACTGCCAGTTGCATCAAACATTTTCGATAAAGAAAAGGCCATAGTGTTCAAGCAGTTTTTGCAGCTTGTCCAATCCAAAGATTCTTAAAAACACGAACATGACATGGCGATATTTTTAAATGATACCAATAGCGTTAGCTCCAGTGTCAATCTTTTTCTGATTTTTCAGAAAAACAATGAAAAAATTTGACAAATAAAAAGAGAAGGTTAAGATAGTTTTAAAAAAATCGTTTGTCCAAACAAACTGAAAAAAAGTATCAACAAAAGACAATGTTTTTGAAGCTATAGCTCTTTTAAAGACATTTGTGGACGATGATCCATCCAAGGAGCTGCTAATTTTTATGCAAGATGAAACTGAAAAATTAAGAAAACTTAAAATTGAAATAACAAAGCTTTCTTAATTTTATATCTACATTAAATGGTGCATATCATTTACCAACACCAAATTTTCAATTCGAACAAAATTTCCACGCATCAGCTAATTTTCAGCATTATCAATTACCAACACAATTCATTCAGCAGCCACTCCAAACTACAGCATTACTCATTCCGACAATAATCTCAAACAATACCAATCATTATAGAAGTTATGTGAATAAAAATAACATATTACATTTATTATTATGCTCTGAATTTCATGCAATGTTTAAATACTTCATATATTTTAGTTCGGTTTTTAAAAGAGAGATTTCAAATGATAAAGGTGATCTTTTCCTGTTAGTTACAATAGCTTTATGTTGCTATATTATCAAATTTTATGAATATGTTCCATTAAACCGTCTGTATATGAAGGTAGTTCTGAATACTTTGACAACATCTTTGTCTAAACTAAAAAGTATTCTATCTTTCCTTTCTTGCATATATTAGCCTGCCAATTGTTTATGTATTTCAGTACGTATAGAAAACTAATGTACAAAACAAATATTTTTATTAAGGTATCTATTCTTGGCAGAAAGTACAGATGTTTTCTTATGGTTATGGAACATGACTGCAAATAAACATCATATTCTTTCAGTTTCACTTCAGTCAATAGCACATGATCTAACGCTTGACATGGCTAAAGAGAAGATTTATTGGCGAGTTTCAAACGGAAATATTTTTCTTATGTTTACTACTCCCAAAATGTAACTGATTTTGGAACTTCACGAGGTCCCATGGCAGTATTTGGGGATTTCATTTATATCATGACTAGTGTTGGACGTAGTGTCGTTAGTGTCCATAACACAACAGATCAACGTACGAGACGTAAATATTTTCTTCCTGTAAACAACGCTTATCTTGATTTGGCTGTAGCAATACACAGTATCACTCCTGACAAAAACGGTAGGTAAATATTTACTTATTTAACATAATAATCTAAGACTTGAAAAAACCCCCACGCTAATGTTCATAAAATAGAAAGACGGTAAAAAGTTGAAAGTTACATTGCCTTAGTAAACAGTTGTTCTTCCTTCCAAAATTATAAAAAATTTGATGAAAATTAAGTTCAAAGTGCAAAGTGTCTAATTTGGACATTTTTGCCGTTTGTCTATTCTTATCAAACTTCTTGGGTGTTAAATTTAAGTCTTTATTGTTTCTTACATCATTTAAACAATCACTTGGGCTTGAAATCAGTCTGAAAAAAAAAATATCATGAAAATAGATTGAAAGACAAAAACGTCCAAATTGAGCATGTTGTGCAGTGAGCTTAATGTTTATCAAATTTCTTAAAATTTCAGTATATTGCAAAACAGAGTTTAAACTTTTACATCTTTGGATTAAACTAGATTTGAAACTTTTCATTTTCTTTGTGCATGCTGTTCAAATTGAGGCGATTACGAAGTACTCTCATGGTTTTCGAGATTAATTGTTTATTCATTTTACTTGAAATAAACAAGGCAAAGCCATGCCAAAATACATGAGCTTTGACACATTTTGTGAGAACTACTGATGAATTGATAATTTTCTGAACATTTTTCATTTATCTTACTTCTTTAGTATATCCCTTAAAGTGTCTCAATGGGCCAGCAAATTTGTTCATACTCTGTAAATTTTCAACATTTATTTAATTGTTTTGTTTTTACGAAATGCGTAACACCAAAAACCAACATTGCATAACAAACTTGCTTGCTGGGTACGTCAACGTGCATACTGAGTGACAAATTGTGTTCTTTGAGGAAGAATATGTTTCGTTTAAAATCCCTGGTTGATTTTATTTTTAATTTTATTGATCGATATAGCGACAAGCACTTTTCACTTTCCTTTGTGTGGACCCAACACATACTATCATAAAATTAATGGGACATTGAACTGCACGTGTATGGAAGGATACTCAGGAGAATGTAACTCGTGCCAAGGTATGGATTTATTACTGTATTTATGAAGATTTTTTATCACCGATCATGAATAAAGAGCATCTCTGTGCAGTTTTGAAACTTTGTTCTTTGTTGAGAATCCTGAGCTGTTCTCTGTGCTGTTGCTTCTGTGCAAGGAATTTTGCTGCATCTACATTTTACATGTAACCACAAAAATAACGCTCGCAGCCACACATACAAGTTCATCATTATCAATACAATCAAGCAGGAAATCAGTAATAAATTTATGAAAAGCTTCAATACACTTAAAACTTCCCTCGGCACACAATATTGAAAGTGTATGGTTCTCTAAATGACAATAGCATATGTTAGCATTAAGACATTTTGATTTTCTCTACATTAAGGAGGGGGTAGGGTTAGGGTTAGGATTAGGGTTAGGGTTAGGTTTAACACTCCTCCTAAAGTTAGTAATCTAGCTATGGCCTGCTAACCTAGATACACCATATTAGACAGTCTTGAGTTTATTATTGCTTGGCTTTCGTAAACTAAGAATTCTGTAAATCCAAACTTTAAAAAGCATTTTGACAGACATGCTTCCAGACCTCCAAGATGAGATAATTGTTCAAAATTCCAATAATATATCCTGTTAGAAACTGTACGATATACTATTATAATGCTCTTTGTTTAGAGCTCATAAACTAGTGAGTTTATCTCGTCTGAAATTTAAATTTATTCTACTATGTTTACACTATGAGTAACAAAGCTGAAGCAAAGGCAATGGAGCATAAGAAACGGAAACGTCTTCAAAATACTGAACTTTTTGGGAGAAAGTTATATTACTTAAAGTCCCACAAATTTTTCTAAGCTTACAGGCCGCGCAATTAGTCATCTACCGCTTAGTATGGGTGGTATGCACTGATAATGTTCATTCATACATATCTTGTTAACTTTCGATGTAAGAAAATTAGGTTTTACTGTTAAGCATTCACTTCCTTTAAAAACATATATTCCCAATATTTTTAAGAGGTACAATAAATAAGGTAAAAAAATGTATGTAAATAATGTGTAATAACGTTTTTCAGTAGATGTCATTAAATTTCTACTGGGCCTGTCTGTTTCACTTTATTGTTGCTTTATAAAAGAAATAAATGATGCACTGGCTTATGCAAACCTTAGAGACGTTTTGTGAGAATTTTCGAATTCTCGATCAGCTCTCAAACTCTAACTTCCAAAGGTCTCCTCGGGGATGACATAAGCCTGCGCAAATACATTAAAAAACTTTTATTTCTTAACTAAAGGCCACGTTATTGTCTATAATATTCTTAATTTGTTGGTTTAAAATATGTCATCTTTCATTTGAGTTAACACATATGGTCAAAAAATTATGTGTAGTGCAAAAGTGCAATTGCTATTTTTCATGTAGCTATTGCTGAAAAGGCTAATTAATTTTTTTAAATAAAGTTTATCAATCAATCAACAATGACAACAGCAAGCACATAAAAAGAAAGTAGATTGGAGATATAGTAGGTTTAGTATTGAATTTTCAATTGAGTTACTCTTATTGCAGCATTTCCCCCTGAATTTAAGAACAATTAGTTGTTGTTACCATTCCTTATAACTATAAAATTTCTGACAAAAATCATCTGTTGGGGGAGATTATCTCAGATCTACGACCTCCCTGAGATTTCCGTTTAATATGAAAATCTTTTAGTTTATGAAGTACCATCGAGTAGGCAATCAGTTTGAAATCAATATAACGGAAACAATATTGTTCATAGTAATATTAGTTTTGATTATATTAGCTAGCCGTCAGTGGAATTTACAAAAATTTTATAAAGTCTGCCTGACCCTGACAACAAAAAATGTTGGTCAAGTGATTCTAAGAATTTTTTGCAATAGTAGTCTCAACATTTTTGATGTATACAAGGTGATATGTTTCATATATGATACAAATGGTGTATGATGTATTATGAATGAGTATTTTTGCGTGAATTTACTGAATTTTGCCCGTATTCTAAAGCTTCAATCAAACTCATACTCAATGATTGCAACACAGATATCACGCTCTTTCCAAGTAATGGCATTTTTATATATTCAACAATGACATGTTTTTTTTATGCCAAAGTATTTCAAATCATAGCTACGCCATGAAAATTTGCGAGGGGATTTTGAAACTTCATTCTGTGTGTGTGGTTAGGGGTAAGACTTTAAAAAACAGGCATTTGTCTTGCTGTTTATTTCAAGTTATTACAGCTTTTTTCACTTTCTATTATTATAGATATCAACGAATGTCAGTCTTCTCCTTGTGGCAAAGATCACTCATGCATAAATATCCCAGGCTCCTACGAATGTAATTGCTCCACTGGATACAAACGTGACAAATCCAAAAAGAAATGCATCGGTAAGTTGGTCTTTCTAGATCTTTCAACTTATGTTGCAAGTTTACGTGACTTCATGAAAATTCTTTGAAAACTGCTTGAACTATTAAAATATGGGAAATGCTTGACAAGGTCTTGTGTTCAAATGCACAAATTATTAGCTAACTCAAGAAGGGCGTTTCTCGAAAGTCTCTGCTGATTAAGTGAATTAAAAGCTAAATAGATAACAATTAGTGGTTTATGTTACATTAGAACTGACTTAAGCTTGTTTAAAGTGAGCATTTTATGTGAAACCAACATAAAGTTGGCATTCACTTAATTAGAATTCAATTTATAAGTAAAGACAGTGAAACGTGGTTCTGATTAGTCAATAGCTATGTTTTCATTAGTCTGTGCAAAACAGATATGAATTCAACCAATCAAATCAATCAAATTTCAAATCGATCATAAATGCATTTCACGTCTAAATTTGAAACATCTGTTTTCAATTTGTCTTTTTCACTTTATTGTTGCTTTATAAAAGAAATAAATGATGTTTTCGTGTTTGCACTGGCTTATGCAAACCTTAGAGTAGTTTTGTGAGAACTTTCAAATTTTCGATCAGCTTTAAGCTCTAACTTCCAAAGGTCTCCTCGAGGATGGCTTAAGCCTGTGCAAATACCTTAAACAACTTTTATTTCTTAAATGAAGGCCACATCATTGTTTACAATATTCTTAGGTTGTTGGTTTAAATTATGTCATCTGTCATTTGAGTTAAGACATATGGTCAAAAAATTATGTGTAGTGCAAAAGTGCAATTGCCATTTTTCATGCTGCTATTGCTGAAAAGACTAACTAATGAGTTTAAATAAAGTTTATCAATCAATCAACAATGACTACAGCAAGCACATAAAAAGAAAGTAGCTTGGAGATATAGTAGGTTTAGTATTGTATTTTGAATTGAATTACTCTTATTGCAGCATTTTCCCTGAATTTAAGAACAATTAGTTGTTGTTACATTTCCTTATAACTTTAAAATTTCTGACAAAAATCATCTGTTGGGGAGATCATCTTTGATCTACTACCTCCATGAGATTTCCGTTTAATATAAAAAACTTTTAGTTTATCATTTACCATCGAGTAGGCAATCAGTTTGAAATCAATATAACGGAAACAATATTGTCCATAGTAATATGAGCTTTGATTATATTAGCTACCCGTCAGTGGAATTTACAAAAATTTATAAAGTCTGCCTGACCCTGACATCAAAAAATGTTGGTCAAGTGATTCGAAGAATTTTTTGTAATAGTAGTCTCAACATTTTTGATGTATTCAAGGTAATATGTTTCATATATGATACAAATGGGGTATGATGTATTATGAATGAATATTTTTGCGTGAATTTACTGAATTTTCCCGTATTCTAAAACTTCAATCAAACTCATACTCAATGATTGCAACACAGATATCACGCTCCTACCAAGTAATGGCAATTTAATGTATTCAACAATGGCATGTTTTTTTTGCCAAAATATTTCAAATTGTAGCTACGCTATGAAAATTTGCGAGGGGATTTTGAAATTTCATTCTCTGTGTGTGGTTAGGGGGTACGCCTTTAAAAAACAGGCATTTGTCTTGCTGTTTATTTCAAGTTATTACAGCTTTTTTGACTTTTTATAATTATAGATGCCAACGAATGTCAGTTTTCTCCTTGTGGCAAAGATCATTCATGCATAAATATCGCAGGCTCCTACGAATGTCGATGCTCCACTGGATACAAACTTGACAAATCCAAAAAGATATGTATCGGTAAGTTGGTCTTTCTAGATCCTTTAACTAATGTTGCAAGCTTACGTGACTTCATGAAAATTCTTTGAAAACTGCTTGAACTATTAAAATATGGGAAATGCTTGACAAGGTCTTGTGTTCAAATGCACAAATTATTAGCTAACTCAAGAAGGGCGTTTCTCGAAAGTCTCTGCTGTTTAAGTGAATTAAAAGCTAAATAGATAACAATTAGTGGTTTATGTTACATTATAACTGACTTAAGCTTGTTTAAAGTGAGCGTTTTATGTGAAACCAACATAAAGTTGGCATTCACTTAATTAGAATTCAATTTAAAAGTAAAGACAGTAAAATGTGGTTCTGATTGGTCAATAGCTGTGTTTTCATTAGTCTGTGCAAAACAGATATGAATTCAACCAATCAAATCAATCAAATGCAAATCGATCATAAATGCATTTTAGGGGTAAAGTTAAAACGTCTGTTTTCAATTTGTCTGTTTCAATATCTTGTTGCTTTATAAAAGAAATAAATGATGTTTTCGTGTTTGCACTGGCTTATGCAAACCTTAGAGACGTTTTGTGAGAACTTTCAAATTCTCGATCAGCTCTCAAATTCTAACTTCCAAAGGTCTCCTCGAGGATGGCTTAAGCCTGTGCAAAAACATTAAACAACTTTTATTTCTTAATTAAAGGCCACATCATTGTTTACAATATTCTTAGGTTGTTGGTTTAAAATATGTCATCTGTCATTTGAGTTAAGACATATGGTCAAAAAATTATGTGTAGTGCAAAAGTGCAATTGCCATTTTTCATGTTGCTATTGCTGAAAAGGCTAATTAATGAGTTTAAATAAAGTTTATCAATCAATCAAAAATGACTACAGAAAGCACATAAAAAGAAAGTAGATTGGAGATATAGTAGGTTTAGTATTGAATTTTCAATTGAATTACTCTTATTGCAGCATTTTCCCTGAATTTAAGAACAATTAGTTGTTGTTACATTTCCTTATAATTTTAAAATTTCTGACAAAAATCATCTGTTGGGGAGATCATCTCTGATCTACTACCTCCCTGAGATTTCCATTTAATATAAAAATCTTTTAGTTTATCAAGTACCATCGAGTAGGCAATCAGTTTGAAATCAATATAACGGAAACAATATTGTCCAGAGTAATATTAGTTTTGATTATATTAGCTAGCCGTCAGTGGAATTTCAAAAACTTTATAAAGTCTGCCTGACCCTGACATCAAAAAATGTTGGTCAAATGATTCTAAGAATTTTTTGTAATAGTAGTCTCAACATTTTTGATGTATACAAGGTGATATGTTTCATATATGATACAAATGGTGTATGATGTATTATGAATGAGTATTTTTGCGTGAATTTACTGAATTTTGCCCGTATTCTAAAACTTCAATCACACTCATACTCAATGTGAGCAACACAGAAATCTCGCTCCTGCCAAGTAATGGCAATTTAATGTTTTCAACAATGGCATGTTTTTTTTGCCAAATTATTTCAAATTATAGCTACGCCATGAAAAGTTGCGACGGGATTTTGAAACTTCATTCTGTGTGTGTGGTTAGACTTTAAAAAGCAGGCATTTGTCTTGCTGTTTATTTGAAGTTATTACAGCTTTTTTGACTCTTTATTATTATAGATATCAACGAATGTCAGTCTTCTCCTTGTGAATGGTGTTACTTATGCTATAATACCCCAGGCTCATACGGTTGCAAAAGAGGTCCTCGTTGTGTACAACCTGTACCGCCCAAACATGAAAAGTCCGATTGGGACTGCCCATACGTTATTCCTATTTTATGTAAGTAAAACAGAGTGTACAACTTTAGCTTGGGTGCAATGATTTAAGCATAGTGGAAAAGAACAGTGGGGCTAAAATCAAAGCACACAACCAGGGAGCAATAATATCAGGATAAACCAAGCTTTTCAAAAAAAAACAACGTTTAAACACATAGAAATTAAAAATCATTTTATTAGAAGCAAAGTGCAGGTAGCGCGGAACAATGAACTTAATTAATTGCCAACGAAGATAACTTAGTAAATACATTTACAATAACAAAAAGTAAAGTTAAAATAGATCATTTTCAACATTTTCTTTGTAGCCAAAATGACACTGCCGTATGTATAAGTGTAATGTAAGTGTTTGCCAAGCCACGTCTTTATAATGAAATAAGGAAAGTGTAGTAATTTGTGTAATAATGTCACCCTATCATTATGAACTTAATATCATGATAGATTATTATCAACCAACCATGTAACGTCTTTTATGTAAATTACGTGTATCAGCACGTGCTTACTTGTAGTTTTGTAGTTTCTTGCAATGTACAAATTTTCATTGAATGTTATAAATATACTTATCGGAAGCAACGCGAGTTTAGGCTCAAACAACAACTGCCATAAAATAAATCCACTAGCAAAGTGTGAAAGCATGGATATTTACCATAGGTTTTAATAAAGGTATGTAAAACAGAGTTACAAAAGCTTTGTAAGAGCTCAGCAAAAGTTCCGTATTCGTGATTGTCCAGATTTGGTAAACTCTGTTTGTTCAACCCAGGGTGCCATTTAGTCCTACAATAAAAGATTTTCACTCTTTAAAAATCCTTAGTATTCTACAAAACTTCACCAAGCATCCACCAGAGAGCTACAAATCTTTTTTTACTAATCATCCCTCCATTAAGAATTGACAAAATCATCACCACGACTCTGTCAAGTAATTCTCTACTGAACTTGATGACATTATCAACTACATATTTCCGTAATCAGCACACGTTTACAATGGCTTCATCTCGTGAGAAGTTCTTCGGTATTTTCTGTTCTTTTTACCCAGGTTAAATAGCTGACAGGCTTGGAATTATCGCCTTCTTTACCAAATACGGGTGGGTTTGGCACGCCTAGAAGCAACACACTGTGTTTCCCCGATCTCGACATGGGTGTAAATTCATTAATGATGACGTTAAGAATAGTTATACCCAAGGACGTATCATTACGTATTATCACCTGAATCAATATTAATGTTGTACCAAGAATTTGGCCAATCTGAAAAAAGGCAAACCTAATATTCAACCAAAATAAAAAATAACATCCAAAAAAGTTTCTTGGCCTATACTTAGAGACGTTTATTCAATAAAGATGTGAAATGCGTGAAGTGGGGTTCTCTTTAATCCCAAAAATAATTGAGAGTTATATGTTTACTATAGTTATACGTTTAGTATAGTTAGTATAGTTATACGTAACGTTTTAGAGGAAGCTCACTTAAACTTATATAAATTTTTAATGAGCCTACTTGCACCCAATAATAAAATTCCAAATTTTTTTGGCCATTCCGATTTAGAAGAAATCTTAGATGGTCACGTACTAATGCATAGCGCATTAGGTGAAACACACCCAGATTCTTAGATTCAAGTTATGTACATGAATACAAAATACGATTGAATAATTATCATAGCGATGATACATAATTACTTATTTCACTTGTTAATGATAACTCAACTCAATATTTGACTAACCAAATAAGCAGAATTGTATGGTAAGAATAAAGATTCTAAACATAACGACAAGTACGTTTCATTACTCATGAACTTTGAAAATTAAAATAAAGTTCAAACGCAAGATTCACAGAAATATATATTTCAAAGTTGCAGCAGACGTCAGTGCAAATTGTTCAGGATTAGACATCTTAAAAACCTTAATTATAACATAACAGCCGAAACTATCAAAAATCGTTTAAAGACAGAGAGGGTGATTTTATCAGAATTTTTAGAAAAATGTTCATGAGAGAAAAATCATAAAAAAAACAGCGTTACCAATTGCCAAGAGAAAAAACATGCAGTTAAAAAGGGAAATTCACCGTTATAGACAGGACCAAAACTAAAACGCTTGTGAATATTCATGTATTGAGCTCTTTCCGAATGATTTCTTTTGAAATTAAAATCACTAACAAACAAAAAATCAGTCTGGCAGAACTAAACAGATGAACATCCCCCTCCTATGCAGTCAACGTTCTAGTTTCCTGTGCGTAATTAACCTGCTTGTTTATAGTCCGGTTTATTGGTTTGTCTTTGTTGACTTACTTAGAAAATAATAAATTTGATAATGAAAATAATAAGGCTTGATTGAACATTTTTGTCATAATCTACGGTAAGATGCAACATTTCCAAAAGTTACTTTTGTTTGACTTTGAATCACCTTTTCAATTTTTTTGTAAATTTTTTCGTTTGGTCGTTTATAACACTTCTTTATGCAATAGCCATGAAATAGCATCAGTTCTTTGTTGTGGTGCTCTTTGTTTTAAAGGCTTGTAATGATTAAGGCCTTACTTTACTCAGAATTTGAATTCTGCCCATTTAGGCATCGCAGTTTTTGCAAACGTTCATGTCTGGCGAAGCTAGCATCTTTTCCAGCTGGTTTTCAGGATCAAATATGATTCATGCAGTTTCTTGCAAAAAATTTTTCTCGAAGGATTGTTTTGTAAATAAATTGTCGAGAGTATTTAATCTGGATGATACGCTATAATTTGACATAATTATGTTAGTCAATGCATTTCGTTTTGCAAAGTTAATTCAGCATCTTGAATTAACAGACTAAAAATTATTGATTCCATGTAAAGAAAGAATATAATAATTGATATGCATCTGATATAAGAATTTTTCCCATTAACAATCTTATTGTTTTTAACGTTCTAAGTTGTTTTTCATATGTTTTTTATTGACGAGAATAATTCGAAATAGCTAATATCGTTCGTACACGTGACACTTCATAGTTCTATTAACTATGTAGGTACTAGTTATGATTTACACCTTAACTGCTACCTTAACAATCCTATTACCAGATTTAACTATTTTTATTTGCACTAGTACTTGTAGTGCTTGTAAAGCACTCTTCCTTCATGTACAGCAAATGATCGTTATTTAATTTCTTCTGTTAATGTTGACCAAAAATTTCCAATGACTTGTGTTTTTATGCAACATGTGAAACATTGGAATTACTAATAAATGTCTCATTTACATCGTACTCAACATGTCACTTTCTTAATGTAACAAATAACTAGCTCGATATAGTAACCAGCAATTAGTTTGAGTGGTCAGCGTAGATATGTCTCTATTTAAAGAAGTCGTGATTTTCCCACTGACTCACGTATAATGCAAGAAACTTTGGCCACTTTTTTGCCTCCACTTGTTTACAGCTCAAAAACAACCGTAGTCTGTATGTTTTAGGAAAAGGTTTGTATACAAAAGATTTGTACTTCCATTTCTTACAGAGTTTGTTTGAAGTTTTAAATATTGATTAGTTCAAATCAAATATCAAAATTCAAGACAATTATTTATAACTTCTTTATGTACATAAATAATAGAGAATTATGTAATTTAAGACAATTATGTAATATGCAAAATTTAAGACAATCATGTATGTTCTTTAATTTATCATAAAATCTATTAGGAAATGTTCAAAAGCAACGAATAAAATGAAAAATGTTCACCTGGTACACATTTTTATATTAGACATAAAGTTGTTTATTGTATTGTACAAAGTTTAAAACAATTTATCGTAAAACATTAGATACCGACAAATGTCAGTCTTCTCCTTGTAGCAAAGAACACTCGTGCGTAAATATCCCAGGATCATACGAAAGCCTATGCTCAAATGGACACAATTTTTTCAAATCCAAAAAGAAATGTTTCGGTAAGTTGGTCTTTCTAGATCTTATATTATATGTTGCAAGCTTACCCGGCTACATAAAAATTCTCTAGAATAGACAAATTCGTAATGTCATTATGGTCATTAAGACAATAACATCTACCAGTTGTCTTCATAGTCCTCTATGAAATAGTGTTGGTATTAGTACTGCACCACATTCCAGAAAAACTTTGCTACCAGGTCTTTTCATCAAATTTCATGGGCTGTTGTTGGAGTGACCGACCCCTGACTGTTTCTTTATACTCACTATCCACGGTGGATAACGTTTTCTTAGCGTCAGGGATATTATTTTTTAAAAATATTGGTAACATTTGGTAAATAATTTCATAAATTGACAATTACATAGAAAAGTATGTTGCGTTTCATAAACAAAACAGGAAAGCATCGGTATGTTTGGTGTTAATATCAATGTTTTGAATTACGACTTTCTTTTATGAACAAATAAAACATTTTGTTGTTGTAAAACGTTGTTATTGATAGACGCCACATCATTTTTGTTACAATGTGAGTTTACGTTATAAACTTATTTTATGGCTCACAGAATGTTGATCTTTATTTTATTCTATTTACGAAGACGATGTTTACTCGATCCTCCGTCAGCATTTCCAGCTATTTAAGCCTCCGTCGTCTTTGCTCGTTTGGGATAGGAAACAAAAACTTAAAGTTTGTACACATTTAAACTGACATTGTAACCCTATTAATTTTAACTTTATAATGCAGAATATCATGAGAAACATACGTACATCTGTGCACTCTTTTCTTCAGTAAAGCAACTCCCCACTTCTATAGCAGGGCATGTTTTGGTCGGATGGTCAAAACGGAAATTATTTCATTACCAGAGCACGAGTATATGTCTGAGCAGGCGTCTTGAATTGAAAATTAAAAAATAAGCGTGATGGCCGACAGAGACCTTTAAAGCAAGTATTCTACAACATTTCTTTTATGTTGCCGAATTAATATGATTTTTAACATCACACTGAGTTTGAATTGTTTAATACGCGAATATTTCTTTGAAGTTATTGAAAGAACTCGTTCACGAAGTCAAAAATACGTTAACACAACTGTTGAATAGTTGTTGTATTGCGGAGATTTTCGTTGCACAAGGTAGGGTGCTCTCACCAAAGTTTTTATCATTTGCTTCTTTATCAAAGATTTATTCCTTCATACAGGATTTTTTTGCTAAGCTGTTGGAAAAAGTCGTTGCAAGTAGTTAACAACCATTGAAGACTTAATCCATTGCGAAACTTTTTGTGTCACTTTTTGTGTACTACGTAAGGCTGAAACACCCTTTGCAGTCGCTTTCGTCGCGCGAGATCGCGAACTGATGCGCGCGCGTCATGGCCGATTGAACGTCGGAAAAACACATGTACAAGCGAGCACTCCGTCATGATTGTATAAAGTGTTCTGTAAGAACAGTTAATTTCCTCCACATGGAAAGTATTTAGAGAAGAATATGAATAAAATATTTGAACATCGAGAAGCCATTGCCGAGTAAAGACTACCGTAAAATATGCTGTGAAAAAAGAAGAAATGTAATCGTTTGTGTACTTGACCATATCTACCCAAATATTCACATCATTCCTGTGAAAAATGGTTAACGTCTACAGTGTAATCATATAATTGATTACAGTATAATCTTGTAATCGATTTCTTAAGTGAAAAACGAAACATTCGCTAAAGTTGATTTTATTTAACACAGCTTTATTGTTAAGTGGGTATTTAACAAATTATTTGCTGGGCAATGATATTCATTTAAAAATTGAATAACTCATTGTAAAGCATTTTAAAATAACTTTCACATTATCAATATTCTATCTAATATTTGTAGTTCAATTTAGAATCTACAGTCCAGCAAAGAATCTGATACGTCCACTTGTAACAGTGGACTCACCAATTTTAAATGATCAATTATTTCTACTTGCATTAAATTGTCAGAAAAATCATTTTGTTCTGAATGTGCTTCGTTGGAATTTTCTGATAACGTAAAAATATTGCTTGTACATTGTCTTAAATAAAATTCATTCTGCTCGGATTTCACCGTAAACTTATTATCTTCAATGTCATTTCCAGCATACTCCATATTTTGATATTCTTGTGCTGAATGTCCTCTGAAATTCTCATATCCTGATGCTGAATGATTATTGCTGTACAAATGAGATAGTTGGTTATGCCCTGAAGGGTCTTGTAGTATAACGTTAGAAAAATATTCTTGTAATTCATCGTCCATAGTTAACAGTTTTGAAGAAGTTTCAATGTCATCTGTGTCCACCATTTTATTCTTTATATTAACAGAAAAATCAGTCTCAGTATTCTTCCTTATATCGCATTTTTCATCAAGATCACTTCTGTTCTCAATCTTATCTTCCATTTCATCACACGCCATCTCTTCTTCAAAATATCTTTCTTTCTGACCTGTTTCATCTTCACTACAATCTGTCTCGTAATCACTTATATAAACATCATTTTCACTATCATCAATGTTTGTTAAAACGTCCGGTAAGTCCATTTGCTCTTGTTTTATGGCTTCGTTGAAATTTGGACAAAATGTCTCGGCGAATGATGGTAGTTTTTCGTTACTTGCAAAAATGTAATCTACTTTTATACACCGTGGTATTCTAGTTTTGTCGAGAAGTTTTAAAATCTTTTTCCGAAGCTTAAACATTTTACTTCTGCCGGCTTTTGTTTGAAAACCAGATTCGTTTACTTCGCCGTAAAAAGCTTTTTCTTTAACTGATGTTTCATGAATACATTTGGCTTGATTTATATTTTGGGATGAAATATTTTCTGACCCAAGCTTTTCTTCATAATCATTTAGTCTAGCATTCTTATTGAAGCATTTG